GATCCAGAGCAGGAATGCTGGAGTCCCACTGCCATCACCTTCTGCTCGGCCACAGGGACACTGGGCATTGTCACAGCCCTGCAGGGATGTGCCTGCTGCCCCTTTCTGGCCATGCTGGCGCTGGGCACCACCAGGTTCTGGCATCACAGAGCATCCCACTGCAACAGGTCACAGCATCCTGGAGAGATGGAGCTGATGTTGCTCTGCACCAGCAGCGGGATGGGAGCAGAGCCAGGCCCGGTGTCCCGGAGGCAAAAATCCCTCCAGGAGCCGCCACCTTCCCTTCTGAAAACGCCAGATCCCTCCCTGTGCTCCGGCACTCCCCCCTGTGCTCTCCAACACAGTGATTCTGATGCTGTAAATGAGCTTGAGGGTCTTTGACTGAGATCTCTGCGAGTTGTTTCTTGCTCCATCTCCTGGCAGGAGCAGGCGGAGTCACGGCTGCCCTCGGCATCCTGGGCTGCATCCCCTCGGAGGGTGCTGAGAACAGGCTCATCTCGATTCTTGCCATTTTTCCATGAAGAAAAATTCCCCCTAAGCAGAATTCTTGCCTCCTCCCCTGGCCAGGGCTATTTTCCCTCTTCAGAACCCAAATTCAGCAGAGCTCTCCGAGCTTTTCCCATTCCCCCTTCCCTCCCTGCCCGCACCAGCTGCCTGCAGCCGCACCCGGTGTTCCCCGTCACGGGTGGGATTCGCTCCCAGGTGTAGGAGGAGGCTCCTGACCCCTCCCCAGGGGCTCTCCCCGCTCCCCTTCCCGGGTTTCCAGCGGGCACTGGGAGCTGGCAGCCGGCGGCCGGGATAACCTTGTGGCTCGGAACATTGCAGCCATCCCTCTTGTCCCATCAAGCGCTCATTTAGGAAACATTTCACTAAATACCCACCTGACAGCACGGCCCCGGGAGATTGATGCCTCCAGCGCCTCTGAGGGCTCGGTGCCAGTGACTTTAAAATGTCACAACGACACCCCCGGGGCGCTCACGTCCCCTCCCGGTGCCCGGTGCCCGGATGGGAATGTCCGGAGGGCGCTGTGGGGCCAATCCCCATCCCAGCCCCCTCAGGCTGCCAGGAGATCCCTGGGGTTGTCCTGAGGGATTTGAGAACACCCAGCACAGGTTTGTACCATCCCCAGCCATAAAATTTCCTCATCCCTGAGAGCTTTCCCATGGCTTTGGGACATCCCCATCCCATCTCCAATTCCATTCCCATCCTATCTCCATCCACATCCCATCCCTCCCCTTCCCCACTCCTGTGAGGGATCCCTGTCCCATCCTCATCCCCATTTCACCCCATCCCATTTCCATCCCTGTCCCCATCCTCATCCCACCTTTATCCCTGTCCCTATGCCATCCTCATCCTCAACCTCATCTTATGCCCATCCTCATCTCCACCTCACTCCATTCCATCCCCATCCCCATCCCTATCCCATCCCAACCCTCATCCTCCTCCCATTCTCATCTTCATCTTCATCCCACCCCCTTCCTCATCCCCATCTCATCCCATCCTATTCCACCTCATCCACAACTCATTCCAGTCCTCATCCTCACGCCATCCAATCTCCATCCCATCCCATCCCATCCCATCCCATCCCATCCCATCCCTCAGGGCAGGAAGGAGCTCAGCAGTCTCAGCAGAGCCAGAAGGGCCCCTCGGCTGCCACAGGAGGGATAAACAAGGAGCAGATTAATTAAAGCTCAATCAGTGCCATCCCTGAGCCAGAGCCACTTCAGACCTTTTCCTTTCCATCCCCTCAAACTCCTGGAAGGAGGAAGGATGGGGGATGTGAAGGATGTTGGGATGTGAACCCAGAGCGAGGGCCCTTGACAGTGAAATCGCTCTGAAGCTGCAAATAAACCACACAACACCAGGCCTGTATCGAGCTCCTCCGGCCTCATTAGTGGGATCAGCTAATTAGGAAAACAGCTGGGAGTGTTGGGAAAGTGCTGCTGTCTCCAGAGGGACAAAGGGACAGAGGGGAGAGGTGGCATTGACCTGCTGGCAAGGCTGGCCCCAGCCCGGGGTGAGATAAAGGGGAATTGTGGAGAGGAGCATTCCCAACATCCCAGCAGTGAAATCCCTGGGACGCCGCTGCCTCCACCCCATTGTCCTCTGAGGAAACCCCAGAGCTTCTCCCCACAGAATCAGCGGGGAAATTCGGGCAGGACCTGGGGCAGAGCAGGGGGAGCAAGCCCGGCTCGTCCCAGCCTTCATCCCACGAGGAAGAAGCAGCGCGGCTGAGCTGGGCTCCGGGAAAGCTCGGGAGCGCTCCAGCGGGGATCCCTGATGAACAAAAACCCTGCCAAGGCTTCAAATGCAATTAAGCCACTTAATTTTCCTCCCTGCCCCCGTCCTGCGCCGCCTGCCCAGCCCCGTCCCCATCCCCGGGGAGCGGAGCCGGGAGCAGCGGCGGCCCCGTCCCTGGGGAAGGCGGCTCCGCCTCGTCCCTGCCGCTGCACAGGGAGCTCCGCTGGGGATTGGAGGGGAAAAGCCCAGAAATTGGCCCTGTTATCCCTGCTGGGATTTGGGTGGTGACAAATTAATGAGTTTCCACCCCAGAGCCTCTGGAGAATTAATTGGGAGGGAGATTCGTTAACATCGAGGAGCAAATTGATCTGTTAAAAAAGAAAAAAAAAAAAAAAACCGAAGGGAGGAGATTTTCAATCAGGCTTTGCTTTTTGGGGGTTGTTTCTCCCAAAAAGCCACTTGTTATTATCGGCACTTCCCCCTTCAAGTGCTGGGATCTCAACCGCAGAATCTGACACTGGAGACTCCCTGTGGGTCACAGATCCACGTGCCCCAACCCATCCCGAGCTCCAGGGGAGGAGGGAATTTCAGCAGAGTTGGAAAAATCCACCCCAAGCCACGATTCCCCGGGAGGAGCCCTGCCCTGGGAGCTGAGATCCCACAGCATCGGGAATTGTTCATCCCTGAAATCCCCTCTCCGGAGCGCGGCCGTGCTGGTTTTCTGCTGCCGGAGAGGGAAATTTCTCCCTGCTAAAAAATAGCGGAAAGGGGACCCCAGCTGGCTGAAGGCAAGGGCGGCTGCAGCGGCAGCGCCGGGCTCGGGGAGCCGCGGGGCCGGGTCCTGGGGCTCGGGGGGGATGGAGGGTTCGGCATCGGGAGGCCGGAGCAGCCCGAAAATTCCCGGCAGCGGAGAATTGGATGATGAGGCTGAGCACGTGTCCCTGCAGGAGGCGAGGGGGGGCTCGGTGGAGCAGTTGTTGGAGCAGCAGAAATCCTGTTCCAAGATTTTCGGGGTTCTTGTGACAGCGCCAAGATGAGAGGCACATCTGGAGCCTGTCCAGCCGTGCCTCAGTGTCCCCGTGGCTCTGACGCATCCTTGGTGGCCGGTGAGGACCTGGGAGGTGCCAACTGTTCCACTTTTCTCTCTCCCACCCTGTTCCAGCTCTGGGAATCGCCTCCCTCCGGCCCCCAGACCCTTCCCTCCCACCACAGCACCTCCGAATGTGCGGAGCAGGAGCCTTGGCAGCCTCCCTGTGCCACTGTGCCCACCTCCAGAGCTGCCACCCAGGCACGGGGGACACCGTGATCCCCCAATTCCCAGTGGGCCGGGGGCTGCTGGGACAGCCCAGCCCAGGGAAGGGTGATGGGGGATTTGGGAGGGAAGGTGTGCCCGCTCCTGGGAGCATTCCTTGCCGTGTGCCTGAGCGCAGGGATGTCACAGGGGTGTCACAGGGGTGGCACAGGGGTGGCACAGGGACACGGATGCTGTGTGGACATGGCACAGTGGGGACCTGCCCTGGCGCAGGAGCCCAGCTGTGATTAATCAATGTCCAAGTGAGAAATAAGGTGAAAAATGTGACCAAGGCTGGGGGCAAGCGGGAGATGGCTGGAACAGGTGACAGGGATGGAGGGGTTTGCTCCTGGCCCTGTTTCCTGCCTCTTCCAGGGCTCATTTTTTCTCTGCTGTGGGAGCAGGAGGTCTGGCCGTGGGGTCCCTGTCACCCCTCAGCACCCCGGGGACCTCGGGGTGGTGGCTGGCCCAGGGTGGCTCGTCCAGGGGCTTTGGGGTGGTGGCAGCCTGGGGTGCCGGGTGTGGGGACACAGGGGTGACAAGCGCCCAGGGGTGCCACGTGCGGGGACCTGGGGGTGGCGACTGTCTGGGTTTGGGGTGCCACATGCGGGTGATGGCCCCTTGGGATGGTGACAGTCCCGGATGCCTGGGATGGTGACAGTGCCCTGTGCCGGGACCTCGGGGTGACAACTCCCCGGCCATGGCGTGCTGCGTGTGGGGACCCCGGGGCGGCACCCGCCGGGACAGGGGGTGCCACGGGGACCCCCAGCCCTGCCTGCCGACCCCCAGCCCCCCCAGCACCCCCAGCATCTCCCACTGCCCCTCGCTGCGGCCCGGGACGCTCCCCCCTCGCTGCCGCACTGCCCCCCCCGCCGCCCCCCCGGGGGAGGCCCCACCTCCCCCCCGCCCCCAGCCCCATTTCCCGGGCGGGACCGTTCAAAACCCGCCCGGCGCCGCCGCTCCCCGGATTCCGCCGCCGCTTCCCGGGGCCGGGGCCGAGGATGCTCCGGCTGCCGGCGGCGGCGGGGGGGCGGCGGGTGCGCGGCGGGGGCTGAACCGCGGCGGCAGCGAGCCCCGGCCTGCCCGGGACACTTGGCGGGGAGGAAGAACAGGAGGAGGAGGAGGGAGGAGGAAGACGAAGAGGCCGCCTTCAGCCTCGGCCCCGCCATGCCGGGCCCCACCGGGGAGCGTGGCCCGGTGGCAGCGGCTCCCCGGGGGCTGTGAGCGGCCCGGGGCCGGCGGAAAGGGGGCCCCGGGAGGAGGTGGGGGGGGCTCCGGGCGGAGGGGGGGCCCCGAGCGGCATGGCCAGCGCCGTCCCCCCCGCCGCCGCCGCTTGCACCGGGATTTAACCGGGGCTTGGATGCTTTCACCTCCCGTTTCCACTTCGGGAGGGCATGTGCGCGGGGGAAGCGGGCCGCCCCCAGCGGAGCCCCCCCGCGCCCTGACTCCACCGTGAGGGGCTCGGCCGCCAGCCCCGTCCCGCCGCCGGCCCCGGAGGACGGGGAGCGCCCGCCCCGGCCCCCCCTGGCCGGTGGGTACCGGGCGGGGGGCGCCGGGTACCGGCAACTTGTGTTTAGCGTCCGGCGGTACCGACTGGGGGGAGCCCCCCCTCTACCCGACGAGATTTGGGTTTAAACTTTGGGTTTTGGGGAGCCCCGAAGATGCCTTTCCACCCGGTGACGGCGGCGTTGATGTACCGGGGGATCTACACCGTCCCCAACATCCTCGCCGAGCAGCGCCCCGTGGAGATCCCCGAGGATGAGCTGGAGGGTGAGCGGGCTCGGGGGGCTGCGGGGACTGCCTGGGGATCGGGGGGGGTGACGGGGACATCCCGTGGGATTGCGGGGTGAGGAGGTTTGGGGGTCCGGGAAGTCCATCCCGCGGGATGCGGCTGTGCGGGAGTCGGGGTGCGCGTTCCCCCGGCGCCGTGGGGAGGCTGAGGGCGAGCGGGATGCGGATGGATGGAGAAGGAGGAGGAGGAGGAGAAGGAGGAGGGGAAGGAGGAAAGCTGAAGCGGGGAGGCGTGCGAGGGTCCCGGGCCCCCGGTTGTGGCAATATGACACAGCAGGGACCGGCGGCAGTGGCGGGGGGCCGCTTTCCCCTCCGCGGCGCGGCGGGGTCACCCCCTCCCCGCTGTCATAATATGACAGTGGCTGGTGGCGCGGGGACCCGAGGGGTGGCTGTCACCCGTGCCACCCCCCGGGTCACGGCAGCTCCACGCAGTCCCGGTGTCACCGGACTCCGGCCGGGAGGAGCGGCCGGCGGGGCTCTGCCCACCCGTGCGATGAGAGGGGCCGAGCTCAGCTCGCTGCCGCCACAATGGCTTTTTCCACCCCAAAAGTTTGCCGGGGTGGCGGGACGGGCACTGGCGGTGCCCGGCTTTGGGGTGTCCCTGGGGAACCCGGGGGAAAGGGGTGCAGCACCCCCGGCCCCAGACCCGGCACCAGGGGGGAAACTGAGGCACGGGGGGGTGACCCCACCATGTCCCCACTCTGCCTGGGGAGAGCACCCTTGGTCCAGCACCAAACCTGGAGCCCTTGGCATCCCCGTGGGGAAATTGAGGCAGGGAGCCACAGAGCTGGGGGTGAGAAGAACTCCAGAATCCATTTGGGAGCCCCGAGCAGGTGCTCACACCAGCGTGCAAGGGCTCTGTGTGTGTGTCTGTGTGTGTGTGTGCATGTGTGTGTGTGTGTGTGTGCAGCTCTGCAGGGTGTGCGTGTGCACTGACGTGCCTGTCACAGCCTCACTGCAGGGGCTCTGTGTGTGTGCACAGGCATGGCACAACCCCCTGCCTGCACAGCGTGCTGGGGTGTGCTCACACGTCTGGATGCACATGCACGGCCTCGCTGCAGGGTGGCTCCGTGTGTGTGCCAGTGCCACCGTGTGTGTGCCAGTGTCACTGTGTGTGTGCCAGTGTCACTATGTGTGTGGCTGTGCCAGCATCACTGTGTGTGTGGCTGTGTCAGTCTCTGTGGCTGGGCCCGTGTTTGTGTCACTGCAGCACGTGTGTGTGCCCATGCACAGCCTGGCTGCAGGAGGTGTTTGTGTGAGTGTGCACAGCAGCACAGCAGGACGGGCTGGTATGCACAGCCCTGCTGCAGAGGGGTTTGTGTGCCTGTGCATGAGTACAGCATCACTGCAACCTGCTGGGGAGAGTGTGTGTGTGTGTGTGTGTGTGTGTGTGTGTGTGTGTGTGTGTGTGCAAACACCAGCACAGCCTTGCTGCAATGGGGCTGTTTCTGTGTGCACACAAACACAAGTGCAGCTGTGCACGGTGTTGGTGTGTCTGTGTGCACACACACACGAGTGCAGCTGTGCATGGTGTTGGTGTGTCTGTGTGCACACACACACGAGTGCAGCTGTGCATGGTGTTGGTGTGTCTGTGTGCACACACAAGTGCAGGTGTGCACGGTGTTGGTGTGTCTGTGTGCACACACAAGTGCAGCTGTGCACGGTGTTGGTGTGTCTGTGTGCACACACACAAGTGCAGCTGGGCACGGTGTTGGTGTGTCTGTGTGCACACACACAAGAGCAGCTGTGCACGGTGTTGGTGTGTCTGTGTGCACACACAAGTGCAGCTGTGCACGGTGTTGGTGTGTCTGTGTGCACAAGTGCAGCATTGCTGTGGCGTGGCTGTGCAGGTCCATGCGTGTGCACACACAAGTGCAGCAGCACCACTGCAGGGGGGTGTGGGTGTGCAGGCACAGGGATGTCACTGCAGGGGGGCTGTGTGTGTGTCTCTGTGTGTGTACATGCACAAGCACAGCTGTGCCGGGTGTTGGGGCGTGCACACACAGGGGCAGCACCACTGCATTGTGGTTGTGCATGTCTGTGTGTGCACAAGTGCAGCATCACTGCAAGGAAAGTGTGTGTGTACATGCACCAGTACCTCAGTGCAAGGTGTTTGTGTGTTTGTGCACATGCACAGGTACAGCATCACTGCCAGCTGTTGGGGTGTGCACACACAGGTACAGCATCACTGCCAGCTGTTGGGGTGTGCATGCACAGGTACAGCATCACTGCCAGCTGTTGGGGTGTGCACGCACAGGTACAGCATCACTGCCAGCTGTTGGGGTGTGCACACACAGGTACAGCATCACTGCCAGGTGTTGGGGTGTGCATGCACAGGTACAGCATCACTGCCAGCTGTTGGGGTGTGCTGTATCCATGCACATGCCTGTCTGTGCATGGGGGCTGTGAGTGCACCCGTGTGTGTGTGCACGAGCACATTGCTCCAAGGTGCTGGGCTGTGTGTGCACACTCACACGTGTCACTGCAATGTGTGCACACAGGTACAGCATCACTGTGACATGTTCTGGCTGTGTCCCTGTGTGTGCATGCATAGTGTCCGTGCAAGGGGTGTGTGTGTTTGTGTGTGTATTTATGTGTGTGTTTGTGTGTATTTATGTGTGTGTTTGTGTGCATGTGTGTTTGTGCGTGTTCGTGTGTGTGTTTGTGTGTGTACTTATGCGTGTCTGTGTGTCTTTGTGTATGTTTGTATATATGTGTGTGTCTGTCTGTGTGTGTGTGTTTTTGCACACCTGGGCACTTCCCTGCAAGGTGTTGGTGTGTGACACCAGTACAGCATCACCATAAGGAGTGTGTGTGTGTGTGTGTGTGCGTGTGTCTGTGTGTGTGTGTGTGTCTGTGTGTGTGTGTGTGTCTGTGTGTGTGAGTGAGTGTGTGTGTCTGTCTGTGTGTCTGTGTGCGTGTTCACGTGTATGCGTGTGTGTCTCTGTGTGTGTGTGTCTGTGTGTCTGTGTGTGTGTGTCTGTGTGTCTGTGTGTGTGTCTCTGTGTGTGTGTGTGTGTGTGTGTGTGTGTGTGTGCGTGTGTCTGTGTCTGTGTGTATGTCTCTGTGTGTGTGTGAGTGTGTGTGTGTGTCTGTCTGTGTGTCTGTGTGCATGTTCACGTGTATGCGTGTGTGTCTCTGTGTGTGTGTGTGTGTGTGTGTGTGTGTGTGTGTGTGTGTGTGTGTGTGTGCACAGGTCCGGTGTCACTGCCAGGGGTGTCCCAGCCTCACTGCAGTGAGGTGTGTGCGAGTCCTGCAGCTGTGTCTGTGTGTCTGTCTGTGTGTGTGTCCATGTGTCTGTCAGTGTGTCTGTCTGTCAGTGTGTCTATGTGTGTTGCTATGTGTCTGTGTGTGCATGTCTATCTGTCTCCCCATGTGTCTGTCCGTGAGTCTGTCCGTGTGTCTGAGTGTGCTCACACCCCTCCCTGGTGTCCCTGTGCCACTCCCCGTGTCCCTGGGCTGTTGTCCCAGCTCACCCAGTCCCTGCTGTGGTGTCCCCCCCTCCCTCAGCAGTGGGGACCGATGGCACTGCTGGGAGCCCCAGGGGGACCCCACAAGGTGCCAGACCCCCACGGGCCGCCACCTCCTCCTGTCCCCCTGGCATGGGGACACCGGTGATATCCTGATATGGCTTCACACTGGGGCTGAGCAGACTCAGAGCAGGGGCTGCTCAGTGGGGAGCCAGGACCCCACTCTGGCCACTGCCAGGGCCTGTCCTTGCCTGTCCCCCAACTCCCTGAGCCACCTGATGAGGAGCCACCTTGGAGCTCTTTGGGATGAGCATCCTTCAAGGATGAATTTTGGGGGTCCTGGAGTGTAGTGAGGCCCCCCAGGAGTACAGGGAGAAGCTGGAGGATCTCCCTGCCCAGGCAGGGACACTGGCCATGGAGAAGCTCAGACTGACAGGCCAAAATCCCACAAAACTCCCCCAAAACACCTTGAAGACATCACTGATGTGACACCATCCAGGCAGGGATGTTCCAAGCACTTGGGTTCAGTACTGTCACCCAATATGGGTTTTTTCCCCAACCCCAAAGTTCACAGCCCATTTCTCCCACTTGGATTCTCCAGCACGAGTCCCCCTGGCAACCACATGGAGAAGGAAGAGGCACCAACATCCCGGCCTGGCTTCCCAGGGTCCCCCACACAAATTCCCTGGTCCTTTCCCATCAGCCTGGTTCCAGCTTCGCACATCAGGTGGCATCAAAAAGCCAGAAACTGCCCCAAAAAGGAGCAGAGTCCTGAGTGCAGCAGGAGGTGGGGTGGAGTCAAGGGACTTCAGGCCATGCCTCAGTTTCCCTGCAGCATCTCCCTGCCACCCTGCAGGGATCTTCCCCCACATCCCAGGGGTTCCTTTTGAGCCAGAAACCCCCAAAGCTCCCGGTTCCATCTCCTCTGCACCAGACAGGGCTGAACACTGCAGCAATTTCACCAAGATTTGGGATTTTTTTGGGTGAAGCGTGGCACAGCTCCAGCACCCACTCCTGGACCCCAGGATGGGGGCACAGACCCACCCCTAGGACCATGGGATGGGGCACAATCCCACCCCGAGACCCCGGGATGGGGACAGTCCCCAGCCCCCGTGGATCCTCAGGGATGCTCCCGGCTGGATGCTGCGGCCCCGTGGGGATGCCCCTGTGGCAGTGCCCACCTGGTGGCACCCCAGGCTCAGGCACAGCCAGGGATGCGGCTTTAGGGCAGAACGCCGCGGTTTTAGGGCAGAACGCCGCAGTTTCGGCTGCAGCAGTAGCTTAAGGGGCAGGGTGGGTGCTCGGGTTGACTGGAATTGGGGCAAATATTTGGGGTCTGTTGGGCAGGTGGGACCCTGCTGGGGAGGCTGGGGGGGCAGGCGGGACCCCCACAGGGGTTCTGTGGGGGCTGGAGCAGGAAGCTCAGCCAGACTCACTCCTGCTGCCCCCACAGAGATCCGGGAAGCCTTCAAGGTGTTCGACCGCGATGGCAACGGGTTCATCTCCAAGCAGGAGCTGGGCACGGCCATGCGCTCCCTGGGGTACATGCCCAACGAGGTGGAGCTGGAGGTCATCATCCAGCGCCTCGACATGGACGGTAGGAGCCCCCCAACCCGGGGTGGGGACGGGGACGGGACCCCCAGCTGGGTGACGCACACAATGCTCCCGTATTTCCACCCCACTTGCTGGACAGACACGAGATGTGGGATGAGACTGAGCCAGGCTCTGCCTCCCGCTGGAGCCTCCCCCTCATCCATCATCATCATCATCATCATCATCATCATCATCATCATCATCATCGCCACTGCAGCTTTGTTTGGGATGATTTAAGGATCCTGGATGTTTGTGGGATGCCAGACCTGCTGGGACCGCGCTGCCGAGGCTGGATCCCACACCCAGGGGTGGATCCTGCACCCTGGGTCGTGTCCTCAGCACCCAGCACCCATCACCCTCCAGCACTCGCTGCCACCGTGACCCTGTCCCCACCCCTCCCTCGCCCATAAGGACCTGAAGGATCTCCTTAATTTATTGCTTTTCCTTTTTCCCCCATTTAAAAGCCTTTCCGGCAGCGCTGCCAAGGCGCCGCTCCCCTCATTACTCATCGTTAGTGCTGCCCTGACAGCCCCATGCCAGCGTCCCCCCCTGCCAGGGGACAAGGCCAGAACGGCCACCAGGCACCTCCAGGGTCACAGGCACCCCCAGGGTCACAGCCACCACCGGGTCCCTGCTGGAATTGGGGTCCCTGCTGGAATTCAGGCTCCAACTGTTGTTCAGGGTCCTGGACAGTGCTGGGCTTCCCCAGCCAGTACTGGGGGCTCCAGGTGACACTGGGTGTCCCCAGGTCCCATTGGAAGGGGCTCAAATGGCATTGGGGGTCCCCAGATGTTGCTCTACCAGCAGTGAGAGTCCCAGCCAGCACTGGGGACCCCAGCAAGTGTTGCCATCCCAGCTGGTGCTGGGGACACCAAACTTTGTTGGAGGTCCCCACCCAGTGTTGGAGTCCCTGGTTGGTTTTGGGGGTCTTCAGCCAATATTTGTGGTCCACAGTTAGCCCTGGGAGGCCTCCAGATGGCATTGAGGTCCCAGCTGGGGAACTGGAACTGAGGTCCAGGTCATGTTCATGTCCTGGCTGATGTTTGGTTTCCCTAGCCAGCACTGGGGTCCCAGATCACATTTTGGGGGGACTAGATGGTATTAGGGTGTCCCCAGTGGGCCCTGGGGTCCTGGCTGGCACTGGGGGCCCCATCCAATGCTGGGCATCCTGGCCAAAGTTGGAAGTTCCCTAATTTGCTGGAGGTTCCCAGCCAATCTTGAGGTCCCCAACTGGTTTTGGGGATCTGTGACCACCCACGGGGCCCCTTCTGGGAGGGGGAGTGTCCCATGTGCCCCATGGCCAGGCAGGGGGTGACAGCCAGCCCTGTGTCCCACAGGTGATGGGCAGGTGGACTTTGAGGAGTTTGTGACATTGCTGGGGCCCAAGCTCTCCACTTCGGGCATCCCAGAGAAGTTCCATGGCACCGACTTCGACACCGTCTTCTGGAAGGTAGGGACACCCCTGTCCCCCACGGGATGGTAGGGACACCCCCGGTCCCCTTGGGAACACAGGGACACCCCCGGTCCCCTTGGGAACACAGGGACACCCCTGTCCCCCACGGGATGGTAGAGACACCCCTGTCCCCAAGCGAAGGTAGGGACACCCCTGTCCCCTTGGGAACACAGGGACACCCCTGTCCCCCACGGGATGGTAGGGACACCCCCTGGCCCCAAGGGAAGGCAGGGACACCCCCATCCCCTCCTGGGGCATCACCTCAGAACCTGCACCAGGGAAGGCTCAGGGTCAGGGCCAAGGTTGGGGTTAGGATCAGGGATAGGATGAGGGTCAAGGCTGGAATTGGGGTTGGGCTGAGGCTGAAAGTCAGGCTCTGGGTCAAGGATGAGGTTAGGGTTGGTTTAAGAGTCAGGATTAGGTTTAAGATTAGAGTTAGGGTCAAGCTCAGGCTCCAGTTCAGGGTTAGTGTAATCCTTGGGGTCAGGGTCAAGGTCAGCAATAGTTTAAGGGTTGGGGTTAAGGCTAGGTTTAGGATCAGGGTTCAGGTTGGACTCAGGGTTAGGACTCAGGTTTAATGGTGGGGCCAGGGTCAGGACTGGGGTCAGGAACAGGTTCAGGGTCAGGATTGAGGTCAAGGTCAGGACTGGGGTCAGGGTCAGGAGCAGGATGAGGTTCAGGATCAGTGTCAGGGAGCACCCCCTGTGCCCCTGTCACGAACAGGCCACATTTGGTGCCAGCACCCTCTGTGTGCCCCCACTCTGCTGGGTGTCAGCAGGGCCTTTCCCAGACAATTCCAGGGTGACCCACCCAAACCACCACACCCAAAGGCTCTGGGGGACCCCGGAGCCCCCTGTGCTGCCGGCCATGGGGTCACCCCGAGTCCCCCGGTCCCCGCAGTGTGACATGCAGAAACTGACGGTGGACGAGCTGAAGCGGCTGCTGTACGACACCTTCTGCGAGCACCTGTCCATGAAGGACATCGAGAACATCATCATGACAGAGGAGGAGAGCCACATGGGCACGGCCGAGGAGTGCCCCGTCGACGTGGAGAGTGAGTGCCAGGCTCCGGGAATGCCAAACCCCCACGGGGATGCCAAACCACGGGGATAGCACTGCTTACCCTTAGTACCAGGAGAGTGTATTTGGGATGGGGGTAACGCGCTGTTTGTCCCACCCCCAGCCTGCTCCAGCCAGCAGATCCGCCAGACCTGCGTGCGGAAGAGCCTCATCTGCGCCTTCGCCATCGCCTTCATCATCAGCGTGATGCTCATCGCCGCCAACCAGGTGCTGCGCAGCGGGATGAAGTAACGGGGCAGCCCCGCCGCCGGGACCCGCAGCGACAGCGAGGAGGAGACACCTATAAATATCTATAAATATCTCTATGTACATCCATCTGTGGCCCAGAGACGTGACCCCCCCGGGCGGGGGGCAGCCGAGGGGACAGAGCCGCGCCGGGGCCCCGCCGTGCCGGGCGCCGCCGTCGCTGCTGTGGGCAGAGCACGGAGACTTTGGTACCGACACCGACCCCCCCTCGCCAGACAAAATCCGACCCGTGAGTGCATGTGACGTGCATGGAGCCCCGTGAGCCCCCTCCCGCGGCGGATCCCGTCGGATTCTCCGATCTAGCGTTAGAGCTCATATTTAGGATAAACCAAATCATCCCCTAAGCAATACACGCGCCTGAGATGGTTCCTAGAGCCGGGAGCGTTTGCATGGACTTGGCTGCCAAGGGCTGGATTCCACCCCCCCAGAGCCCCTCCCTGTCCCCGTGCCGTGCCTCGGTTTCCCCAGCTGCCCGGTGCGGGGACATTCCTGACCTCCTGCTTGATGCACTTTGAGCCGACCCCCCTTGGGAAGAGCTGGAGCGACCCCGAGGCCGGGGAGCCCCGCACGCCCCGGAACCCCCAGCCTGTATGTAGCACCCACCTGGGCACGGACTGGTTGGATTTGGGGCCGTTTCTCATTCTTTGGAGTTTTTGGGGTTTTTGGGGTGGTGGTTTTGTTTTTGGTTTTTTGTTTCTGTTTTTGTTTTTTTTTGTTCTTCCTGGTTGGTTGTTTCCGATCTGAAATAAAACTGGGATTTCTGAAGCGCTCTGGGCTGTGGGGGCTCCTGGAGATGCTGGGGTGGAGGGTGATGGGGTGGGGCCCTGGGAGCACCCGTGGGTGCTGCTGAGTCCTCCTGGCACGGGAGGTGGGCACTGGTTTGGGGGGCTGTGACCCCCAGACTCTGGGGGCTGGAGCATCCCTAAACTTTGGGGCAGTGGGACCTGGCTCTTTCCCAGCAGCTCCCACATCCCCCACCCCACTCCTGCCTCTTCCCATGGATCCCAGAGCTTTTATCCCCCTCTCCATGTCTCATGCCCTGATATTTTATGTTTGGTTTGATGAATGTTTCACTCCCCTTTGCCTCGATGAGGAGGATGCTCAGCCCAAGCCCCTTCCCAGAAGTGCTTTCACCTGGATTAACAGTAATTCCAGCAGGAACCAGGATGTGTCTGGGGCGCTCAGAGAGGCTCCACAGGGTCACAATTCCTGGGCCAAGCTGAGGATCCTGCCCCAAGGCTGGTGGCAGGGAGCACCCTGTTAATCCTGATTTACACCACTGGGGCCTGGCCCCGGTGTGAGCCCCCAGGCCGAGGGACATTGGGAATCTCACAGCCTCACATCTGTGTATCTGTGTGCACTGTGGGAGCCCATTCCCACCTAATGGATCGCCCTCCCCGAGCCCCCAGCGATGCATTTTTAATGGCAAAGAGATTAAAGGGATAAATAAAAACAGGGGAAGTGCTTGGGGCTGGGAGAGAATTGGGCAAAGCTGCTGCTCCCCTACAATGGGGCACTTCCCACTGGGAATGGGGCTGGAGGAGCCCATCCCAGGACACTGGGGCTGGGACATCCTCAACTTCACCTCCCTGGTGCTCCCATGGGGAAAACTCGTTTCCCTGCACCAGCATGGCAATTCCCACCCTGCTGCAGCACAGGGGGACACCCCATTTTTGGGATGCCAGGAGGAACTGGTGGCGTTTTATTGATTTGGGGTTTGGGTGGGGCCTCTTTTTGATCTTCTCTAATTTATCAAACAAATTGAAGCGAACGTCCAAATGAGAAATGGAAATGGGAAATGCTCCACGGCAATGAAATCACTCCGGCTGCCTCGCAAAGTGCGGGAGGCTCCGCATCAGTAATGAAATTTCATCCATCTCCTGCAGAAAGTTTGGATTTTTTATGGACTGGCATTTCCAAAGGAGCCACGTGGCCTCAGAGACATGTGTGTATATATATATATTTATTTTTAACAGGGTCTATTATAGACACTGTGAATAAACATAAGAGAAGAAGAAGAAGAAAAAAAAAGAGGACAATTTAATTTGCCAGAAAATACAATAATGTAAAAGAAAAAATTAGATAAAAGGAATAACGCCATCCCCCAAGCTCAGCGTTTCAAAGCTGCTCAATTAATTTTAATGGGAATCGGCAGAACGGATTTCTTGGGGCAGGTTTGGAATGGCAGCTCCCGATCCCGGAGCAGGCGGGATCCCGGAGCGGGGTCCCAGCCGCGTCCCTGCTCTGCCGCAGAGGCGACGATCACTGCGGCTGCTGCAACAGAGATGCTCCGGGATAATTCAATTAAGGGACCGCCAGGAAAGGCGAAAACAAAGGGAATGTGCCGGGGGGTGGGGGCTGCCGCGGGCGAGGGGAGGTGGGAGGGAGCAGGACCCTGCATGGGTTCCGTGGACATAGGAACAACGGAGCAAAAGTGGCAGCAACCCCAGCGGGGATTGCAGGGCAGAGATTCCATAGCTCTGGGAAGTGTTTGGGATAGGAAGGGAAGAAGTTGGTAATGGTTGTTTCTCTCTCTTGTGCTGCAAGAAGTGTGGGATGGGCTCAGCTCCACCCCTGTCTCAGTCCAGTTCCTTGTCCCAGTCTCTGTCTCCGTCCTCAACACCATCCTCAGTCCCATCCTTATTTCCATTCCTCTCTGTCCCTTTCCCCTCTTCCTATCCTCACTGCTGTCCCATCCTCATCCCATCTCCATCTCCTCCCCATCCCTGCCCCTCTCCCCTCCCCCAGTGCCCATCTTTGACCCTATCTCTACCCCCATTCCATTCCTTTTGTCTCTCTGTCCTGTCCTCACCCCAGTCCACATGCTGTCCCCATTCCCACTCCAGTTCCCGTCCCCCTCTCCCAGCAAGAGCTGCCAGAGGACACGGGCAGAGCCCAGCGGGGCTGCGCTTGGCAGGGGCCCAGCAGCCGCTCATTTCCCTAAAAGCTTCCCGATAAATTACTCCAGCTCTTGCTCCAGCAAAGGCACTTTGGCTCGGGCTTCACTATTGGGCAGCAGCTCCTCACCTCCACCCCGGGGACAGTGAGTCCATCCCTGCAGCATCCCTTGGGATCAGGTAGCAGCCATCCCTGTGGGAAGGAGCCTCAGCCCTGTCCTGCTTTGGAGCCCTCCTCCCACAGCCTTTTCCCATGGATGAGCCCACAGTGGCTGTGTCCCACCCCGGTGATCCATGGCATTGTCACCTCCTGCCACTGCTGTAACACACCCCCCACACACCCTGCAATCCCCAGCCTCCTCCCCCCAGGGGAGTCACACAGCTCCATGAATCCATGACATCCTGAGGGTGATGCTGGCTCAGCCCGTCGGCCACACATCCTGCAGTTTTTGTGGGAAAACCCCAACTTTAATGAATCCCCCTTGGCAGCCCCTCTCACCTCCCCCTGGACAGGCTGGAGCTCAGCAGGGAATGCTTCTGCTCTTGCCTTCCAGCCTTTATTGGGAATTTCTGCTTCCAGAGCAGCTCACCTCCTTGGGAGCAAGGAAAGGCTGTGGCTGTTGTGTTTTACACTGGAATTTTCATTTACAGTTGGGTTCCAGAGCTTGCCCTCAGAGAACTCTAATTTAAGCTGGATCTGGGGAGCCCTGAAGTTTGGAAGTGTTGGGTAGAACAACCCCTCCTGGATCAGCTGGAAAACCCACCAGGACAGGAGCACACTGAGCAGGAACAGGTCTGGGGGCTGATCAAAGCACAGCTCCAATCAACGTGAGGAACAGGGAAGGATGTGGATGTTGACTGGGGAAAAAATCCATGGAAGGGACTGGAGTGGGAGTTCCTTGATCTGCTGGTGCTGGTGGCCTCAGAAGGTGTCCAGGAGCATGTCCTGGCTGCCAGCAGCAGAGCAGCCACTGTCCCACTCAGTCAGTGGAGCCCCTCAACATTCCCCAGGACTCTCCCTCTGTGCCAGGCTGGGGCACAGGGATGCACATCCAAGCTTGGAGAGAGCAGGCCCAGACAGTCCCTAGGGGGTCCCCACTTCCCATTTCCTTGGGGGCAGGGTTCCCTTGCTCCAGGGACTCCCACCCATTCCCAAAGAGGAGCCAGCTGGGAGCCCTTATTAATCCACCTGTCCTGCAGGTGGAAGTGAGGACAGGACATGGGGCTGATCCTGCATCCTCTGAGCCCAAGCCCTGTGCTCCTGCTCTCCAGCAAGCCCAGGGCTCCTGCCTGCAAGGATAAAAACATTCTCTAGTTGGACCTAGAATTCATCCAGGCTGCAGCCAAGGCTGTTTCCAGGCTGCTGTCACATCCAGTCCCTGCTCCTGTCAGAGCCACATCCCAGGATGGGGCTGACGCTCCTGTGACAATTTGCCATCACATCCCTGCCCTGCTGGAGCGATCCAGGCAGGATTTGGCCACAGGCAGCTGGCTCCTACCCGTGCTCTTCATGAATCTGGACCCACCACCTCCCTGCCCAGCCAAACCTGGAATGCTCTGGCAGTGGGCACAACCCTCCTGGACAAACCTACTGCCAGAGCTGCCTTCAGGGATGCAGCTGGACAGGATCCCCCCTTGCCCCTGGAGCTGCAGCACCCAGCTCCCTTCCTGGGACAGCCAAGGGCCTCTCTCAGCCCACACTTTACCAGCAAGGAGAGATGAAACAACTCACTGCGGAGAAACCTTGGGGTATTTCCACTCCTTGCCCCTCACCTCCAGCACAGCAGCAGCAGGACTGAGGGAAGCTCCCCAGGCTCTCCAGCTCTTGGGAGCTCCAGCACCTGGACCCAGGCAGGGTCCCACCCTGAATTTATCAGGAACAAACACGGCACCAACACCCGAGGAAATGAAACATCAGTTCTAAAAGCCTGGGTCCTTCTCCAGCCTGGATCACAGAGCCCAGCACAGAGCTGGGGTGAGAGCAGGCAGCAGTGATCTGAGGGGATGGATCCCACCCAGGAAATGGGGAATGTCAGCTCCAGGTGACAACAGACAGCCCCTGTGCAGGGCTGGAGCTGTGCTGAGCACAGATCCCCGTTCCAGAGCCAGGGGAGTGGCTCGGCCCACGGGAGGAACATGAACACGACACACGGAGGCTGCAACGGGCAGGAGGAGGGTTTATTGAAATAAAAGTGTGTATAAATAATCCCATCCCTTTCCCAGAGCAGAGGCAGGCAGCCCCAGGCAGGCTCTGGGGTGCCTCAGCCCCACTGCAGGTTGGGGGGCACTGGCCACCCCCCGGGTGGGGGGGCCTGCAGGGACGGGGGCAGCTCTTGCACTGGTGGCCAGCCCAGAGGGTACTGGAATGGTGCTGGTTTCTCAAGAAGAGCACTGTGAGGGGAGAGGGAAAGGGATGAGGTGAGAAGCAGTGTGTCTGTCTGACACCAAGGCCAGGCTGGGGACTGGGCTTCCCTGTGCCCCCTCAGTAGCCCCCAAAGAGGAGGGGCCAGCAGAGGAGGGTTTTAGTTATCACCAAATGGGTTCATTCACTCCCCCATCCCAAATCCAGCACCAGAACAGTTGTGTGACCATTCCCAGCATATCCAAGCAGCCTAACACAGAGTGTGCCAGTGAAAACTGAGGTGGGATCACTGAGGGAGCAGCCCAGCCCCCTGAGAGGGGCTCAGCAGGCACAGCTGCCAGGTGCAGGGAGCAGGGCTGGTCCCAGCCCCTCCATCCCCTCTCCTCACACAGCTGACTTGGAAGAACAAACAAAACCAGCAGATGTTTCTTTCCAAGCAGCCCAAATCCCAAGCCAGCTGTGCACTTCCCAAAGGACAAGGACCCCTCGGAAACGGAGGAGCTGCCAAACCAGCGGGGTGTGTGCACCAGAGGACCCTTCAGCAGAGGGAAGAGGCTTCTCCCTCACCCCACAGCCTGGGAATCACTCTGTCCCTGCTCCTCCTCTCCTCAGCTTTACTGGTGGAGGCTGCTGCAAACACCACACTGGGATGAAGAAGAAGTGCAGGAGCAAGAACCATCTGTCCCTTGCCTCCAGTTTGACCAGGGCACGTTTCAATTCATGGGAAATGTACCTTTTCCATTAATTCCCAAGTGCAGGAAGCTCATTTGTTCTCTCACACAAGCCCTGACAGCAGCCTTGCAGCTTCTCAGGCCTCTACCTCCGATCCTGATGAATCTTTTTAATTGTTATGCCAGAAGAAATCTAATCAAACTCCTTTACATAACCCCAGGGAGAAGCAGCACCCTCCTCTCCCTGCGGGGCCGTGGCCCAGAGCCAACTACAGGAGTAGTTTTCCAGGAGCGTTTTCCAGGCAACTAACACAGAGCAAAGTCACTTGGCTCAAGGTTTTATCCCCTCAGTGGGGATTCTCCAGAGCCCAGGATGAGGCAGGAGCATGAGGACACACACCAGCCCCTCTGGGCAGGGATATTTGGTGTCATCCCCCAAGCACTGTGGCTCAGGCACAGGTGGATATGGAGCAGAGGGAATGCTGCAAGGTTGAGCCATCACCTAATGAGCATTTCCTGAGCAGCAGGACTGATCAATAGGCAGGATGCTGCCTGGGTACTCAATTCCCTGGGGTCTCATGAGCTACAAGTGCTCTATCAAAGGTTTACCTACAGCTGGAGCATTTTCAATGGCTGTCCCACAGGGACTCTCCAGTGGCCAGCAAGGTCAAGAATATTTCCTTTCTGAAGGTGTTAATGGGATCCCTCTCCTCTACCCACTTTCACACTCATGGAACTTGTGGCATCTCAGAAGCTTTGAGGCTTTGGATCCTTTTCTAATGGAAATCCATTCTCTACCATTTCCTTTGGAAATCAGTAAAAATCAATCCCATGAAATGTGGGGCTGGAGGGCACAAGGGGAGCACAGAGATGATTGGGAGATGCACTGGCAAGGCTGGAGAGAGGAAGGGAAGTTCCAATAGTTGGTGTTTAATTCCTGTAGCAGATGGTTTCTGAGCCTGCAGGGAGAGGGAGGCTGGAAAAAGAGCAACAATCCTGGAAATTTGTTTTGTGCATCTATGGAGGCAGCACAGACCAAGTTCTGAAGGTCTGAACATTCCTCTGGGTATGACCAAGTAGTTCTGAAGGTCTGGAAATGCCTCTGGGAATAGTGACAGCTATCTTCTGTAAGAGCAGATCCACCCCATGTTCCAGGGATTCACAGACAGGACAAACAAAATGGGGCAAGTGAAGTGCAGGGGACAGGAATGTGGGCACCTCTGCAAGGCCAAGGGCAGCCGAGCTGAGGGACAGAACAATCCCAGAGCAACAAGCTCAGACAAGCACCAGAAGGAAGCTCCTGCCCAGTCCAAACACGGAGAGGACGGGAACAGAGAAAGAACAGAAGAGAGATTTGGCACCTGCCCAAATGTCATCCCATTAAGCCTGCGGCACAGTCAGGTGAGCGAGGAAACAGCCAGGGCCCCAGTCTGAATGGATCCTGTGAGGAGGAGCCAATTCCACCCTCCCTGGCAGGCAGGGCATGGGGGAGCTGTCAACAGATGAAAGCAGGCTCCTGACACTGAACCCTGGGCATTAATGAGCCAGCACAGCAGCAGCTCTGTCCTCCAGGTGTGCCTGTGAGCTCTGCACAGAGCAAGGGCAGCCCTCTGCTGTGGCTTGTTCCCAAAGTGTCCCCTGGCAAACGGGGACACCTGTGCAGACATCCCTGGTGGGGCAGGCAGGGCTGCACCCACACACAGGCCCCTCATGAGTGCTGCCTGAGGGTGTTGGGAGCTCTGATGCCCTGCACCCTCCCCTGTCCCAGCCCTCCTGTGGGATCCCCCTTGCATCCACACCTGGATGATCCCCAGCACCCAGTACCTGCTGCTCTGAGCTGCACTCAGCCTCTGGGCTCTCTTGTCCAGCCAGTCCTCGATGGTGCCTGGTGGGATATCTGCTCCCTCCCTCTGCAGCTCCTTCAGCCTCTTCTCTCCTGCTCGAGAGAAAGATTGAGATCAGAGAGGGCTGGATCAGAGGGAGGGCCATGAGAGAAAGGGCCACCAGACCCTCGTCCTTTCACTCCATTAAACCTGCTGCTCATTACCCTGCAGAGTTTCACAGGGTGGAAAGTGTGCACCATGCCTGGGCAGCCCCTCCTCCTCCTCCTGTGCCCTCCTGCCATCTGATGCTTGGTGACAGCTGCAGCCAGGCAGAGCAGGGGACAAGAGCTAAACCAGCACGGTGGCAGTTTGGGCACTGAGGGGAGTCTGACATCTCCCCCCGGGGCAGATCACCCTCATCCTGTCCTGGAACAGCCTTGGCTGGCCCTGAGCTGTTTCCAGAGCTGTGTCCCTCCAAGTGGCAGCAGCAACTGTGCCACCCCTGCCCCGTTAGGTGGAGATGACAGGGACAGTGTCCGGATCGATGCAGCCTTGGCAGCCCGGGGAGTCTGAACAGTTCCGGGTGCGTTTTCCAGCCAGCAGACAGATCCCAGAGCTGCTGTCAGGGCTGTTTAAGGAGCTCCCTGCCTGATGTGTCCCCAGCCCCTGCTCAGCCCAGGCAGAGCTGTCACCAGCCCAGGGGCAGAAGCAGGGCAGAGAGAACCAGGGGACAAGTTCTTGTATTTAGAACCGTGGAATGGTTTGGTTGGAAGTCACCTCAAAGCTCATCCTGTCCCACCCCCCACCACAGTCAGGGACACCTTCCACTGTCCCAGGCTGCTCCAAGCCCTGTCCAACCTGGCCTTGGACACTTGCAGGGATCCAGGGGCAGCCACAGCTTCTCTGGGCACCCTGTGCCAGGGCCTCAGCCCATCAGAGGGAAGGATTTCTTCCATAAATCACAGAATTACAGAATCGATCAGGTTCAAGAGAGATCACTGACTCCAACCTACACCTAACCTAAATGTCCCCTCTTTCAGTTTGAGCCCATTACTCCTTGTTCTATTTTTTCATGGTGGTTAGGAACGAGGAAGGAAACCAGTAGGAAACCTCTGCTGTTTACTGAATCAAGATTTCAAGCCCTCCAATCACTCTGGAAGGGCTGTGTGGGAGAAGGGCCTGGGGAGAAGGGCACGGAGCCAGCGTGGCACAAACCCACAGCTGCCCAGTTAGCAAAGCTCCCCAGTCCCCCCCAGCTGCAGGGAGGGAGCTGGTGCTGGACAGGTCTAGCAGGAGTCCTGACACAGCCACACTCCTGCCAGCACATCAGGGATGAGGACACACTCCCAGCAATCCCAGCCCCAGTCTAGTGGAAACTTCCCACCTAACAGACCAGGGAACTCAGAAAACCAAACACTGGTGACAATAAAAAGAAAACAGAGACAGCTGCATGTCACTCCCTTAGCCCTGCTCATCCATCCTTCTGGGGGACCCCGATCCCATTTAGGGATCAAGGCACCTGCAGCCGTGCCCCTCAGGAGCCTGCTCCACACCCACCCACCCTATGTCACATGTTTTAAGGAAAATATTATACCTTTGCAGACAGAGTGTGAAATTAATAGTGTTTGGGCAGAGTGAAGGATCACTTCATCCTACTGGTGGCAACCAATTATTCATCTGCCTGTTGAATACTAAATCAGGATGGCAGGGATGTGCTACACAATGAGCAGCCAGATGGATAATTTGTCATCCAGCCTTTTCAGCTGCTGCTGCTGGGCGGGGTGACAATGTGCCCAGTGCCACCACAGAAAGCCCGCTGGGGTCCGGCTGCTGCTCTGAGCCCACCGAGAAGGTTGGGGACAGCAAAGTTCCAGTCTCCCACAGCTGTTCCCAGGGATCAAAGCCCCAGCAGAGTGACTGGGGTCAACGCAAGCAGCTGGCCAGGTGGGGAGATGGGCAGGCAAGAAGCTCAGCCTGGAGAGCTGGGCACTGCTCACACTCAGGGTTAGACTCATCTGGCAACCTTGAGGACCTTATTTCCCTTTGTTCCATGTTCTTCCAGCTCCTGAGCACATCCCACCTCAGCAAGGGGACAGACAAGCAGTCTATGAGAAGCTTCAATGAGGCAGGGAAGAAAATCATGAAGAATCTCTCCCACCTCTCTGTGCCACTGCCATTTCCTCTTCATGCAACTCCCCACCCCAGCAGAGAACAGAGCATGAACAGTCCAAGCTTCTTTGTTCAGCAGGGAGCCCCAAGGTACCACACCAGGGATGGAGTAGCCACAACTCCCAGCCAGAAAAGTTCACTGGATGCTGTGGAACCACTCTGGATTTGCACTGCCCCAAATGAGGCCCCAGATATCCACATCAGAAAGACATCCAGCTGTCTCCCTGTTCTCACAGCTGCAGGAGCTGCTGCTCCAGAGCAGTCCAAACCTCAGGCTCAGAAATGTGGCAGCAGGGACAGGCAGCTCTTCAGCTCTGCCCACCTTGATGATGTCCATGTCCCTCTGGAGCACACACATCCCATCCAGGGACCACCAAACACACCTTGAAATTGGAAATACTCCCTGAATGCCAACAGCTGTTCCAAGTAGCAGCTCTGAAAGGCCTTTACCAGCTCTTGCTCCCCACACATGCCCATGCAGCTGGACAGGTGTGAAGGTGCTTCCCCCCCCCATTCCTCCTCCTCACTGTGGTGTTTGCTTCCAAGTCTGATTACAGCCAATTGAAAGAGCATCTGCAGTTGTGAAGTGCCTCTAATGATGCCAGAGTAGGGTCCACATTTATCTTCTCTCCTCATGGGTGTTATTGTTGACAAAGGCACTACTGTGTGAGAGATGGAACCCACCAGTACTTGCTGGGGGGGGTCACCCAGCAAGGCAATGCACAGGAAATCCCTCAGCTCTCACCCAGCAAAGAGATGCACATGAAATCCCTCAGCTGCCTCCCTGGTGGATGATGTGGAACCCCAACTCCTCCAGAGCACAAGACCAGCACCAGAGCATGGCTGAGATGGGGCTGAGGAGCCTCTGCCATCGGAGCAGCCAAACAAGTGACCGCCCTGCAGCCCAGTGTGAGCACTCCTGCTCCCTGCCCAGTTAAACCAGTGGACTCCAGCCACCCCAGCAGGGCCCTCAGACCCCTGCAAGCTCATGGACACCCTGCAAACCCTCCCCAGCTGTGCCCTCCTCTGGCAGCCCTGCCTGGCTGCAGCCATCAGAGCCAGGTCGATCCTGTCTGCACCAGGGACACGGATTAGCGGGGAGCCAATAACTCTGAGCAAGGAGATGGCAATTTGACAGTGACTTCTCCTGACATGACTGTACTTAAAATGACAGCTTGGAAGTGTCTGGCTGATGAATGATGCAGCAGATGCAGAAGGCTAATGCTTTGATGGGGGAACAGCTGGGAATATGAGCTCCCTCCCTGCTGAAGGTGTAAACTGTTGCTTCTTGATGAGGATATTCTACAGGGTGCAGAGATGCTGATGCCAAAGTAGGCCAGGCTCCAAGCTGTTCTAGAACATGGAATCATCCAGAAATTTTCCTACTTAACCCACAAAACCAAACTACAGGGTGAACTCCCAGCATTAAAAGGGCCAAATGTTAAGGATAATGTCATGTTTCCTTTGGCTGTGATAAAAATACTTCATTATCAAGGTGAGTTCACGGACACAGAGCTACCAATGCCAAATACTCACAGGGACTTAGGGACAGGTTCAATATTTACATGATAAAAAAAGTCTCATCATGGTTTAGACGGGTTAAAAATAAAAGTCAGACAAGGCTTTGCCTGCACCAGAGCTGAGGAAAGGGGGGTTAAGCAGCACTGTGGGCCCACCAGGAAAGCATCCCCCACCAGCCTGGCCACCCCCAGCATGGCCCCCCCAAGGCTTGGGAAAGCTCTGGAGCTTCCAGCCTCTCAGCTCATCTCAAATCCTTGATAACCCCTGGCCCCAAAGCTGCCAAAATCTCCCAGCTGGGTCAGTGAGAGGCAGCCTGGTCCAGATTGCTCCAATCCTGCTGGCTGTGGCTTGGGATGGCTCATGGCTCAGAGATCCTGAGTGGAGATGCATGTGGGATATTACTGATGGAGGATCCTGTGTGAATTACACACCCTGCCACTACAAGCTTGCCCTCAACTCTGCCCTCCTCACCCCCAGCACCTGAGACAAGGGTGCTTTGGCAGGGTGCTTTGACACTTTGAAGGAGTGCTGGGACGTGCCCATGACTCACCAGACAGTGTCTGATCCTTCCATCCTGTCTGCTACAGGCTGTCCCTCTCCTCCACCAAATCCTGCTGAGCCTTTCCCTACACCAAATCCCTCCAAACTCTCTGATCAGAGCTGGAGCCTGTGTGATGCACAAAACCACACCATGAGAGAGGTGAGCAGGATTGAACTCTCCAACCAAGCACCCCCTGTCCCCTGGCCATCGCTCCTTCAGGGCTAATTGGTAAATGAAATGTTTGACTCCAGAGCACAAATGCAAGGTTTCCCAGTAATCTCCCTGGAATTGGCTCTCAGCAGCCAATCCTGCACTTACACCGACCCATTTGACACAAGTCAATACTCAATAACAAGTGTAATTGGCAAGGAAAGCTGCCCGAGTACAGAGGAGCTGCCAGCCCTCCCTGCTCCGCTCCAGAGAGCTCCCACTTCTCCTGCAGGAACAGCCAGTGCCTGGAAATGCCAGAGGTTCCTGTGCTGCCACTCTGTGCACCCTCGGGAGCCCAGCAGAGGGGGGTCAGGCAGAGGCTCTGGCTGGAAGGTGGCTCTGGGAAGGGCTGGAGCACTCCATCCCCACCGTGGCTTTATCGACCGCCAGCAGCGCTCCGAGATTGATTCAGAGTCACCTCGGGGGCTCTCACTGACTCAGCACAACCTGGGAGAGCTCTGTGCTGCCTGCCTGCCTCCCCCTGGCTCCCCTGAGCTCCCCCTCCCCAAATGGGATCCCTCTGAGGGCCAGGAGAGGCTCTGCCCCACCCACACCCCCCTCTCACATCCCACACTTCCAACACCTCAGCCTGGCTTTGCCAGACTCTTGGCAAAACAACAGCTGGCTCCAGAGAGGATGTGGGCATGGGAGCTGCTCCAAGCTGGGCTGCACTGGGACACCAGGCTGGGGAAGGAATCCTCCTCTGCTCCACATTGTCAGGCCAGATCTGGGTGCTGTACCCACTGCTGGGCTCCCCAGTACTGAGACAATGGCACAACCCAAAATATGGGAATTTCCATCGGGAATTTCTATTGAAATACTTCAAAAATTACACATTTTTATTATGAACCCAGTCAAACACTGATCAGGTCATCCACAGAGTCTCCAGCCTTGAAGTATTTGAAACACACTGGATGTAGCCCTGAGCACCCTGCTTGCAGCATGGTGAGGATTAGATGATCTCCAGTGGGGATTTCAACCATTCCACAAGTTCTCACCAACTCCTCACTCACACTCCCTGGAACTGTCCAAGGCCAGGCTGGATAGGGCTTGGAGTAACCTGGTCTAGTGGAAGGTGTCCCTGCCCATGGCAGGGGTGGAGTGAGATGAGCTCTAAGATCCCTTCCCACCCAGCCCAGTCTGTGATTCTGTGATTTTCTTTAACCACTAAAGTAATGACTCCTGTGGAGAAAACAGAGCTACCACCTCTTTTCCCTAAAAGAAAAGTAGCTCCAAGAATGGTAGTCCCAGAATGAGAAAGTTCAAAAGCGCTCTGCAGGCTCCCAGCAGGGAGCAGCTGCCATCCACCCTCTGCCCACACTTCACTTCCATCCAAAGCCACCCAAGCAGAGGCTGTTTCTGGATCCAGGACCCCTTTCACAGCCCGACAGCAGGACAGCTCTTCCCACCAGCTCTTCCCACGGGTGGAAGCAGCAGCTCCCTGGTAATAGCAGCAAGGTGGGGGAAAATCAAATCCATAAATTTAAGGGGATGTGATGTACCAGTGCCCTCTGCTGCTGACAGTTTTTATTCCCTGACTGAACAAAACCCCGAGGGCTCAGGAAGGCCACTCCAGACTCTTGCTGCCAAGTGGTAGCAGCACTGCTCAGCTCCAGGTTTGTGTCTGTGCCAGCAGCTCGAGAGCAGGGAGCATATGACAAACTGCAGCACTTCCAGGCTCACACAGCACTGGGAAGCAGGAGGGTTTGGCTGGCTCCACACAGGCAGCAAGGGATCACAGCCTGCACAACCCCTCACACCCCCCTGCAGCAACTCCCCCTGCAAGGAGATCCTCAGACATTGCCCTGTTGGAGGACTCACCTTGAACCTGGGCACTCAGCTTCTCCAGGTCCTGCTCTGTCATGTGGGAAAATCTGCAGTTGGACCCAAAATCACACTGTCCTGGAATGAAATAGTGAGATTTGAAAATTCAGTTTCAAAATCCTCTAGATTAGATAATAGGAAATATTTCTTCACAGAATGGGTTGTAAAGCATTGGAATGGGCTGCCCAAAGAAGTGGGGCAGTCACCACCCCGGAAGTGCTCAAAAAAGTCTGTGGATGTGACACCTGGGGACACAGTTTAATGATGAACATGGTGGTGCTGTACTGACATTTTGACTTGGTGATCTTAAAGGTCTTTTCCAACTTTAATAATTCTGGGAAGAGCCAGAGTCCCATGAGAACCACCCAGAGGAGGTCCTTGTGCAAGCAAACCCAGGCTCCATCACACCTGGATGCCAGACACAGGCCCAAACCCCTCCCTCCAGGCCAGGGCTGGCTCTGGAAGGAGCTGCTCAAGCCCAGGCACTTCTTTCCACCTTAGAACTCCTCACCTGTTTGCAGAAACTTCCGACAAGGTTTCTTGGTTTGCTCTTCCTGCAGGATTGCAGCAGCATCTGGGGAGACAAGGGATGAACAGGTAAAGATCCTGGGCACAGCAAAATCCCATCATGTCCAGTCCCAAACTGGTCAGGGAGCAGAAGGAAGCAGAGGGACGTGCAGGCAATGGTTTCACAGCCAGTTTAGCCCATTCCCACTGCACTCCTCAGGCTGGCACTAACATTCCTGGAGCTGTGTGCTGAGACAGGTCAGAGCCACACACGAGGGTTTCACCCCTGGGACTGCCTGATCCAGCAGCATCACATGCTCAAATTGCTGGCACACAGAGTGTATATAAACCATCAGTGCTGATTTATTTCCTCTTCCCATTCCCTCCCATCCACATCCATCACCTCCCCAGTCCCAGGAAGGGAGTGGCAGAAGCTGGGAGCACCCACCTCGGAATAAGTCGTACCAGACTCTCTTAGCCCGCAGATGCTGCACTCCATTGAGGTGTTTCTTCCTGTTGTGCAGGTTGTCCTGGAAGGACCTGTCACAGTAGTCACAGAAGTACCTTTTGCCCATCTCTCTCCTGGCAAAACAGTATCAGCATGTCCTGGGGTCATCAGGCAGCTCCTCGGCGCCCAGCCATGGGAATGGAGGATCCAGGATTTACAGCGCCTGCTTCCAAAGGAGGAGAACTCAAATCACTTAGGGCTGGCAGGCAGACAAAGAGGTGAGACCCAACAGTTCATATCCTTGTCCATCACAGACTGCTGGGGCAGGATCTGCTGCCTGTACATGGGAGAAAAGGCCTGATCTGCATTTATCTCTGTCACCCAAAGCAACAACAGCTCTGCTGGAAGCATTCTCCTTCCCTGAGCTCAGAGCACAGAAAACAAAGAGCCACAGGCTGCAGGGAAGGTGCAGCACAAACCATGCAAGGTGCAAACGGGAGGAGCTGGAGGTCCTGGGGACCTTTGACCACAACCTCCACGAGCTGATACAAAAGAGGAAGGAAACTCCCCAGTGTCCATCTCTGCAAGGTAAGGAAGAAACTCAGCAAAGCTCATTTTATCCTCAAAGATAAAACAGAAGCTGATCTCACCTGTCCTATGGGCAGCTGCATTATAAACACTACAGGACATATTTCCTACAATCCACTGAGCCACCTGTTTTTTCCTAGACATCATGGATTGCTCTCCTCATCCTCCCCAGCCTATGGCACCAAGGGGTGTCTGCTCTGAGTACAGCATTAAGATCACAACAGAATTTGGGAGCTCCCACCTGTGCTGGGCCTGCCACTGTCAGTGCAGGTGAGATCAGCTTGTGTTTAATCCTTCAGGCACCTGTCCCCATCAGATGTCCCTGCTGGAGGTGCAACAAACACCCTGAAGGAGCTGCAAGCTCTCTCCTGAGGGATACAGAGGTACTTGGTGAATGGCAAAGATGGATGGACTGGGAGATAAACTCCAAAAGCAATTCTCCAGGTTTTGACACTTTGACAGCTGAATGCATTTAAAAAGTGGCACAGAGACCAGCACAAGAAATAAAGATTTCATAAATAAAATGGGTCCAGAATCAATCACAGCCCCCTGGCTGACTCCCCTGGCTCAGCATGAAGAGCAGAGCACCAGGCAACCCCTCAGAGCCCAGCGTGCCCAGCTCAGGCAGGGCTGCCAAGCCTCCTGCCAGACATCCATCCCAGCAGGAGCACCAGCACCACATTCCCTTCCCTCCCCTGCTCCCAGGAACTGCTGCTTCAAAATCAAACCCCTGGAAATCTCCAAGGCCTCACACCACAAGTTAAAGCAAAGCTGCATTCCATGGGAAGACCTTCTGAGATTTTTAGTATTGGATTGCAAACCTCCACACTGAAGGTAAAATGTTCAGATATTCCAAGTGAACTGGAATCCCTTTGAGGTTTCTTCCTGGGGGGGTGAGAGCTGGCCATGCCCCAGCTGGGTGTGCTGGGACCCCAAATCCCCCATGCCCTGGGCTGATTCTGACCCAGCTCTGCAGGGCTTGAGGTCTGAAATCGTCCTCCTCCAGCCCAAGAACCCAAACCCAAGCACTGCTTAATGAGCACAGAGCCATAAATTCCCTCATCCTTTGCATCCCTGAGTTTTGCAGCCAGGTTTGCAGCACTGTGGTGAGGCTGCTGGAATTCAGGGGGAACAATGCTTTTAAATACTGAAAAATCCCTGTTCCACATGCTATTCCATAGTCTCCCAAAGTTCCTGGTGACACAGAAATCTCCCTGTCTCAGCTGCTGGCTCCTGCACTCCATCTCTGCAGAAGAGAATGCTGCAGACAGGGAAAACAAATGAGATTCTGCAGCGGTCCCACACAAGTTTCCAGAGATCTCCCAGGGAATTCTGCCTGCGGAAGCCCAGCAGCAGCCAGCCTTTGAAATCGTATTTCAAACTTTCTCTTTCATCACTCCAACAGCAATAATTGCAGAAGCTCCTTCCCCCTCCTCCCCCAACAACCAGGGCAGAAAGCTCCTCCAGACTCCAGATCCCACATCCCACAGCTGCCTGCTCCCAAATTCTCTGAGCAATTCCCATTGCAGGGGACAGAGGGATTGTAAATAGCAATTAGAGAGGTATCAGATTCTCCCTGAGACTTTCCCCTTCAGTGATTACACCCAACACTTATCCCCCTCTTTTCAAGGATCCCACTGCATGGATCTTGCTGGGTTCTGCCAACTCTCTGCAACACCAGCACTTCCCAGCACTCTGTGAATCCAGAGGAGTCAAAAGCTGCTTCTGAGCAGCACCAGCCTATTTCCATCTCCCCAAACGGCTCCAGCAGTAAACAAAGAGCATTATTCAGCTGAAAACAGAGATGGCTCCTAATTAAATCCATCTTAGTCATTATAAAATAAAGTAAATGTAGCTGTTCTATAAAGAGCTGCCTCAGCCTGGCCGTTTCCTCTCAGCATCTCCAGCCCCTGATTTGCAACTGAATCAGGGCACTCAGACCTGGGCCCACCGCAGCCATAAATGCTTCCAGCCAGGCTTTGTGCCAGCTTAAAAGTCTTCCTGAATAAATGCAAATTAAAATAAAAAAAACCAACAACCCAGAGCTTTATGTTGTATAAAAGTGTAACAGCAATGCTGCGCTGTGTCTCCTGGAGCCCTGCTGGGTGAGCAATATCCTGGTCTGAGGCAACTCCAAGGTGACAGAGAGGGGCTTGGGACAACTTAACAAGATATCCTGGGCACCATCCCACATTCCCCTGCTCCAGCACTCCACGCTGCTCCGTGTCAGCTGCAGATTTTATCTCTGCCCCTCGGGTGTTTCCCCGGGCAGAGGGAGGAAGGTGACCCGGGAGGGGGCACAGACTCCTTTGTGTCTGGGGGGAGCTGCTGCTCTCCACAGCGGCCCCGGGAGGTGCTGCTGGGCCCTGACCTCAATTTCCTGCCTCCTCACAGCCCGGGCTCGGGGCCATTCCAGCCACTTCGGAGACCCAGGCAGATGTGAATTAATTAAATGCAAGTGTCAGCCTTCTGATACTCGGCTGCCAATTTAAATGGGCTCAGATCTGCAGGGAGACCTGGAATGGCAGCAGAGTTTGCCAGCACCTTCCCAATGACAGAGGCACAGATCCTGCTTTCCATTCCACCCAGAGGAACCATGGAATCATGGAATGGTTGGGTTGGAGGGACATTAAAGCTCATCCAGTGCCACCCCTGCCATGGCAGGGACCCCTCCCACTGTCCCAGGCTGCTCCCAGCCCCAATGTCCAGCCTGGCCTTGGGCACTGCCAGGGATCCAGGGGCAGCCCCAGCTGCTCTGGGCACCTGTGCTAGGGCCTGCCCACCCTGCCAGGGAACAATTCCTGATTCCCAATATCCCATCCATCCCTGCCCTCTGGCAGTGGGAGCCATTGCCCCTTGTCCTGTCAGAGAATCATGGAATGGTTGGGTTGGAAGGGACCTTAAAGCTCATCTCATCCCAATCCCTGCCACAGGTAGGGACAGCTGCCATTGGGAATCCAGAGCTTGATTTGGGATCAACAGCAACCCCACCACACACAAACCATCCTGATAGCAGCAATTAATGGGCAGCTGGTGGGATTTGTGTTAGATAATCCAGAGCAGTTACATTTCAAAGATAAAATTTGAGTTTTTCTGAGTTCTGCTCTGTGGTGACCAAGGTCAGCACCCAGGGAATGGCTGGAGCTGGGCCAGGGCAGCTCAGGCTGAGATCAGGGCAAGGTTCTTCCCCCAGAGGGTGCTGGCACTGCCCAGGCTGCCCAGGGAATGGGCACAGCCCCGAGGCTGCCAGAGCTCCAGGAGCCTTTGGGCAGCACTGCCAGGGATGGACAGGGTGGGATTGTTGGGGGGTCTGTGCAGGGACAGGGGCTGGGCTGGATGGTCCCTGGGGGTTCCTTCCCACTTGGGATATTCTGGGGTTCCAAGGGATAACACTACACAGGGATGTGCCAGGCACCTTCCAGGCTTCCAGAACAAGCAGAGGTCTTGTCCTAACCCAGAAAAATCCCCGAGGTCCCCACAGTCACTGCATGAGGGAAAAAATATGAATAAATCAGGAGAAACTACTCTGCAGACAGACTTTGTGCTACTTCTGAGGTGGTGGGACAAACAAAACAACAGAGCAGCATCACTTGAGGATCTGCTCTGGAACTTCATGGACACTTGCTTAACAACAGCCCTGTGGGGAAAGAGCCTCAGTGTCAGGATTCCCCTGTCCTGCCCCTGTCTGTTCTGCCTTCCTAAATCCAAATTTACCTCTCTCCTCTCTGCGCTAGAGTCAACTCTGCTCTCACTGAGTTTAAAAAGAGAGAAACACAAAGAGGGGGGCAGCAAATGGGAACGTTCCCACTTTTGTTCTGCCACCCACTCCTCCCGAGGCCTCTGGAGCAGCTGCCAGAGGTCCCCTGGCCCTGGCACAGGGTGCCCAGAGCAGCTGGGGCTGCCCCTGGGTCCCTGGCAGTGCCCAAGGCCAGGCTGGACATTGGGTTTGGAGCAGCCTGGGACAGTGGGAGGTGTCCCTGCCATGGTAGGGGTGGCACTGGATGGGCTTTGAGGTCCCTTCCAACCCAACCATTCCTCGATTCATGAGCCCTACACTCCCTCCCACTCCCCCGACACTGACACCAACCCCCTTTTGCAACCCTAAACTGCAGAAAACACCCCAAAAACATCCCAAAAATACCCCAAAAACCACCCCAAAAACCACCCCAAATCGCCTCCCACCCACCTTCCGGGGGTCAGCTGAGGGCAGTGACCGCAGCCTCCTTCCTGTCCCTGTCACCCTTGGCCGGACACCCGGGCAGGGCAGGGCAGGGCAGGGCAGGCCCGGGGTATCTCTGCCCCCTCAGCCCCGTCTGGGTCCCGCCCCAGCCACGGCCGGGCCGGTTTCACCGCACAGCCCCGGGGCTGCCCAGCGGAGGCCGCTGAGGACAAAGCGGGAGGAACGGGACGAGTGGAGCCTCACAGGGACCCCCCGATGCCCCCCGCCACACTCACCCACATCTGCCTAGGCCCGCGCCGCGCCGCCTACAACTCCCACAACACCCTACGGCAACAGCGCATGCGCAGATCACAAATGGCGCAGAGCGCAGCCTACAACTTCCAGCATGCCCCACGGCCATTGCACGCCATATAAATAACAGAGTACCGCCTACATCCCCCAGCAGCCCTCGCGGCGCAGGCGCAGAGCGCGCAGGCAAGATGGTGCTATTGCGGCGGGTGTACGGGTCGCTGTTCCGCCGCAGCTCCACGTTCGCGCTGTCCATCATGCTGGGCGCGGTGCTCTTCGAGCGCGCCTTCGACCAGGGCGCGGACGCGCTCTTCGAGCATCTCAACGAAGGGGTAGGGGCTCTGTAAGGCCCGGCCGGGGCCGCCCGGGCGCGGGCCCAGCGCTGAAGGTCAGGCCGGCCCCGCTGGGCCCCGCCCCGGCAGCCCCGGGCCCGCGGCTCGGCCTCAGGGCTCGCTGAGGGTCAGCGCGGCTCGGCCGCCCCCGAGGGGCTCCGCGGCTGTCGTGGCGCTCGGTGGTCCGGGCTTCGGGGTGTCCTTGGGCTTCTCTGGCCGCTTGGAAGGGGCGTGCAAGGCAGGGGGGGAGCGGGAGGAGGGAAAGGAGCCGATTTTGTGCGCTGTAGGCCCCCGGCTCGGCCGATCTGGCCACGGCAGAGGAAGGGGATAAGGGCTGGTGGCCTTGGGTGTCCCCAGCCCCTGGATCCCTTGGGTAAAAGGGGTCATGTCGTCCTTAGGCTCCTAAGTACAGCAGTGGCGGGATAATGACTGCAGGATAGCGAGGCAGGCTTGAGGGAGACCTTGGAGCCCCGTTCAGGGCATACAGAGGCTCCAGGAGATGAGAAAAGGACTTGGGACAAGAGCCTGAAGTGCCAGGACACAGGAAATGGCTCCCACTGCCAGAGGGCAGGGATGGATGGGATATTGGGAATCAGGAATTGTTCCCTGGCAGGGTGGGCAGGCCCTGGCACAGGTGCCCAGAGCAGCTGGGGCTGCCCCTGGATCCCTGGCAGTGCCCAAGGCCAGGCTGGACATTGGGGCTGGGAGCAGCCTGGGACAGTGGGAGGTGTCCCTGCCATGGCAGGGGTGGCATTGAATGAGCTTTAGGATCCATTCCACCCCATTCTACGATTCCATGATTGTTCTGTGCATCCCTTATGTGCAGAAGCAGAACTGCCCTCTCCAGTCTGGGTGGGAATTCAAGGCAGTGTCTCTGGGCCACTCATCCAGAGCAGAACAGGGGAAGGGGAATCTCTGCAGCTTCCTCCCTGTCCAGATTGGAAGCCAGGAGCCCCCATGTGCATCCCTGTGTCCCCCAGATCCAGTACAGGACTCCATCACCACCTCCTCACTAGGATAATTTGCATTTTGGATTCTGTTATCCCAGCCCCACTAAGAAGCTGCCTAAAACGTCTTGATTTTTTTTTTTCCTGCTTGTTTTGCATTCAGAAACTGTGGAAACACATCAAGCACAAGTATGAGAACTGAGCAGCTCAGCAGCAGGAGCCAGCCTGGGGTGGCAACAGACACTGCAGGGATGGATCAATTCAGCCTCCTGAAACTGGGAATGGATTCCTGATGGAACAACTCCGAGCCACCAACTGATACCATGTGAAGCCAGATGGACTCAAGGAATTTTGCTGCTGTACTTCCCTTACTGTGTTCAAATAAAACTCCTGGTCCTCTTGTGTCTGTGTGTTCACCTCACTCATCCTTTGCCCTCTCTGTGCCTCCTCCTTCTCTGGGAGGTGGAGAATCTTTGAAAACAGCCCTGTGCTTGAGTTCCCAGGCACTGTCAGGAATCACAACATCTTAAAATGGGTTTGGAAGCACTTAGATGTGGTTCATGACAACCCTTGGCTTCTGCCTGGGAAGGGTGAGAAGCTGTGTGCTTCTCCTGGTCTGTGCACAGAAAAGGGGCTTAGAATCACTCACAGCACCTTTTGTAGCTCAGCTCTGGTGGAATTCCTGGCCTGGGGCCTTTCAGAGCTGCAGGTGCTGCTGCAGCCCTGCCCTATCACGAGTGTGCTGAGAAGGGATCAGCTGTAGCTTCAGAGGTGCTGTGGATCCCTTTCCTGATTATCCCTGTGCCACCTGGCTCCTCCCATGGCTGCAGGAGCAGAAGTGATGTCAGGTTTGTGTCACACCTGCCTCCATCCCAGTGACCCTAGGGAAGGGGCTGGGGAAGGAGAGGATCACTCAGCTCCCCCAGGGGCTGGTTCAGAGGAGTCATGGAGTGGTCTGGATGGGAAGGGACCTTAAAGATTGTCCAGTTCCTCCACCCTGTGCAGTCATTCCCTTCTCCCTGAAGAGCCCAGCGCTGCCTGGCCCTGTCAAACACTTCTTTCTACATGGGAAGGGATATTTGGGCACTTTCTGGGCCAATGACTCAGTTAATTCCTCAGCTCTCAGGTGGCTGTAGGGAGATGTGGCTGACTGACTCCTCCTTTTCCCACTTTCCCAGTCCAGCAGCCCCAGCTCCCCCTCCTCAGTCCATTTTCACTAATCAGGAGCAATTCCAGCCCAGGCTGAGGCAGAGCCCATCAGAGGCAGTGCTCACAGCAGCTTTGTTGGGTTTGCAAACGAGCACCAGGGGGGTAAAACATTTACTCTGAGAACACAACGAGCACTTAAACACTTGTGCTTGTTTTTGGAGCCAAACCCAACTACAGCTGTCCCAGTCCCAGCTGTGCTTTATGGAGATGGTTGAGAGAAAGGTTTAAACCTTCCTAGACAATCCCATCTGAGTGAGTGCCAGCTCCCTGAGCTCTGCTGCTGCTCCACATCAGGCTGAGCAGCTCAGAGAGAGTTGCAGGCTCAGAGCAACTGAACCAAAGCTGAATACAGGATGAGGGGACAGCACTGCAGTGGGCAGCAGGGAGGAGCTGCAGGAGAGCAGCATTACCCCAGCAGGGGATTTTCCTGGATACAGCATTTGGGGATTCTGGTAAATCTATTCCTTTTTCCACGCCTGTCATTGGGAGGTTTGGGCAGCACTGATAGGCAAAGAAAAATCTCCTTGGAGCACTCAGGGCTTCCCCTCATTTCACAGCAGTGGCTGTTCTGCTGCATTTCTGCTTCTCTGCACACAGCCCCACAGCAGCTCCAGTCACACTCCTGCCCTCTGCACAACACCAGGCACCAAGGTGTGGACCTTACTACCACCCTACTAGCACTTTACCACCCCACTGCTCCTGCAGCACTGGGATTGCCCTGGAGCACAACTCACTGCTGATTTTCCCACTGTGGGGGTGACAGCCACAGGCACTGCTGCAGTGCAAGAAAATACAGTGTGGTGGGGAGAGGGCACTCAGGGCACATTAACCAGCAAATTAACCAAGCAAAGCCTAATTGGATACCAGGAAGTTCATCAATACTGTCTGTAAGGGTCTTAAAAAAACAGCTAAGACATCTACATCTTTTATTTGTACCATCTGTTTTCACAGGCCTCACTTGAGGGACAGAAATCCATAAGGTCTGACTCACCTGGACCCCTGTGGGTCTGCTGGCAGTGGGAGCAGCCTGAGCCTTTCTCTGCCAGCACAGAGCTGTGTCAGGAGGTTTAGATGGAGATCAGGGCAAAGTTCTTCCCCCAGAGGGTGCTGGCACTGCCCAGGCTGCCCAGGGAATGGGCACAGCCCCGAGGCTGCCAGAGCTCCAGGAGCCTTTGGGCAGCACTGCCAGGGATGGACAGGGTGGGATTGTTGGGGGTCTGGGCAGGGACAGGGGTGGGACTGGATGATCCTGGGGGTCCCTTCCAAGCTGGGACAATCTATAACTCAAGTTCAGGATAAGGCATTTCCATGGAAGCCATGCTCTCAGAGCTGCCCACTCCAGGGTGGGCAGGAGCCAGTATGAAAATAAAACTCTGAATTATAAATAGTACAAAAGGGCAGGAATGGCTGCTGCAGCCTGTCCCGTGTATTGGCTGCAACCACTGGCACACACAGTCAGGGCAGCTCCTTCCCAGGAACAGGCAGCACTCCCACAGGGAATGCAGCTCCGTGTGAGCCCAGCCGCCGGGTATTGCACCCTACATCCATCCCCTGAGCAAAGGGAATGCCGAGGCAAGGGAGCCTCCTCCTGGGCAGGGCCTGGGACGGCGCAGCCCCGCCCCGGAGCTGCTCAGGAGGGGATCATGCCCTTGCTGCGCTTCCTGTCGGCCATGGCCCGGCGGTTGTGGTTGGCTCGGGTGCTTTTGTTGGCTTCTTTCTTCCTCCGCTCCTGCAGCGTCTCCCGGCTCTGCCCGTGGCCCTTGGCGTTCCCAACAACGGCAGAGCTGTCGTGCTTGTGCCTGGAGGACACAGAGCAAGGACATCACAACAGGCACACTGCACTCCTGGGGGTGAAATCCCACATCCCCACAAACACCGGGGTGTGAGGGGTTCAGCTCAGGGCTCCCACGGCAGCCCAGGAGCAGCATCAGCCCCACCACCACTGTGTCCTTCCACACACTGAGCCTGTCAGCTGAAAACAGCTATGAAACTGTCCCAAAATCCATGTGGGAGCTGTTGGAGCTCTGGGAGTTGTGCTCTCCAAGAGCCTGTCTTCCACAGGGTTCTGCTGCTTGGAGTGACAGGACAAGGGGGAATGGCTTTATGCTGAAAAATGGGAGGTTTAGATTGGGTATTAGAAGGAATTGTTCCCTGGCAGGGTGGGCAGGCCCTGGCACAGGGTGCCCAGAGCAGCTGGGGCTGCCCCTGGATCCCTGGCAGTGCCCAAGGCCAGGCTGGATGGAGCAGCCTGGGACAGTGGAAGGTGTCCCTGCCCATGGCAAGGGATGGAACAAGATGGTCTTAATGTCCCTTCCCACCCAAACCACTCCATGATTCCATGCCATGCCTACCCCTATTCAAAGGGACAAAACAACCAGCAGTGAAATAAAGGGTGGGTGAGGAAGTTCATCCCACTGTGGTAGGACCCTGACACATAGGAATGCCAAGGAACAGGAACACCCCCAACAATTCCAGTCAGCAGCAGAAGAGCTGCAGAGGCAGAGGGAGATCCTTGCTTACCCCTTCCTGGCAAGGAAGGCCTGGCGCCTGGCCTCAGCCCTCTCCCGAAGGACAGCGGGGTCCTGCACAAAGTGGTCCTAAAGGAGGCAAGGGAACAGGTCAGGAGACACATCAGCACCAAGGGAACAGGTCAGGAAACCCATCAGCACCAAGGGACCAGGTCAGGAAACCCATCAGCACCAAGGGACCAGGTCAGGAAACCCATCAGCACCAAGGGACCAGGTCAGGAAACCCATCAGCACCAAGGGAACAGGTCAGGAGACACATCAGCACCAAGGGAACAGGTCAGGAGACCCATCAGCACCAAGGGAACAGGTCAGGAGACACATCAGCACCAAGGGAACGGGTCAGGAGACCCATCAGCACCAAGGGAACAGGTCAGGAGACACATCAGCACCATGCAGCAGCCTGGAGAGGAGAGGATTCTGTTTGGAACAGAGTCAATTCCTGGTTCGTTACCTCTGGACCAGTGGGATTGGTGTCAGGGACTCTAAACACACACCTGGCACAAAACCTGCCTGAAAATCTTCCCAGCCCATGGCTGCTCCCAGCACATCCATGGAAACAGAGTGCCAGTGACCCCCAGAGTGCTCTGCTGGCTCTGTCTGTCTCTGGGATAAAGCAGATTAAAGCTCCCCACGGAGGAAGTGTCACTGCTCCAGCACAGTTAGGGCAGGAAGCTGTGGAGAGCTGTCCTTGGGGACACATCACAGCCCAGCAGCCACTGAACAGCAGCTCAGTCCCAGCTGCTGCTCAAAGATTCCCTCTCTGAAACAGAAAATCTGCTCCACATCACCTGCAGGTGAAGCAGGGAAGAAATATGGTAAATTTGAATGCAACTCCAGCTAAATGTCACCTTTGTTCTTTCTTTTTCAGCTTCCTCCTCCTCCTCTTCATCCTCTTCCTCTGTCTCCTGTCCTTCTTCATGTCCTTTAGGTCTCAAGACCTGAGGAATTGTGAATGGCCTGGGAAATAAGACACAAATAATTAGAAAAGAAAATAGCACAGCCACAAACATTTCTCTGAACAGTACATCCTTTGTGGTTTGCATTATGTCTTTAAAAGATGAGACTCTAGAGATTTCATGGACTTCATTTTCCTGAACAAAAACAAACCAAAAAACAAAAAAAAAGCAGGAGACCCAGGAGTTAATACCACATTCCTATAGGCAATTAACATACACACAGTCTCCACTGGGGAATGTTCACTATGAAATTGTCACTGAAAATAATAATAATAATAATAGCTAAAAAAAACCCCCAACCCTGAAACCTCACAAGGAATATCTCCACAGAAACAACTGCTTCCGTTGGGAAATGGGCATCCAGACACAGCCACAATATTAAGGAGTATCCTTTGCTAGGCTTTAGCTCAGCAGACAGGGAGCATCTGCTGTACCAGACAAATTTGGACAGAAGCATTCATGCTCAGGCAGTGCTGTGCTCCAAACCCTCTGACTGGTCAGGGCTACCCAGGGAGCTCCAGTTCCAATGCTGTGCCCCAGTTTCCTACAGGGGGAAAACCCTGGAGAAATTAATCAGGCTTTATGAATCACTCTGGCCATGCAGAGCAAAGGGCCTGGGGGTGGAGGAAGAATTTACACATGCCTATAACTCTTCTTTAACATAAATACGTGTCTGTGTTTGAATTCCATTGGAATTCAGACCCACCATTCCACTGCCAAAGAAATAAATGTAGAACCAGAAAAGCCTTTGTTATGTCAAACCAACAGATCCAGTTTTCAGCAGTGACATCCACTAATTGTTTCTAGGGGCACTGAGACCTGAAAGAGGGAAAAACACCTGGCTGCCACATTCTTACAGGCAAAACACTAAAAGGATTTAAATTGAAGCTTCTCAACACTTTAGGAGAGCGAAAAAAGGGACAAAGAGCCTCAAAGCTTCCTTTTGGTTTGAGGTTGGGAATGGTGACATCTTCATAATACATCAGAATTCAAAAGGCCACTTTCAGAAATGTTAAAGCAGCTTTTAAACCACACATTTTCTAAAATAAATATTCTCCAGCCTCCATCCCCATTAACCCTTTGTTTCTCAAAAGCTAACTGTGTGCAGTTGTCAGTCATGGTGCAGAGTGCTCTGCAGCTCACTCAGAGGGAAAGTCTGTCGTAAAATTCCCCAAATTTTGAAGTTTTCCTTTGCTAACCAGCCATTTTAGGTTGCCCAGCTCCACTGATTTTCCAAGCCAATTTTCCCTGCTACAGGGTAGTTTCTCCAAGGAGAGGCATTGCTGAGTACAAGTTTCCACACATGACAAATTCCCCTCTTGGATTTCCTGACTAATTGAGGCAATGGCTGAGTGGAAGCTGGAGAACATTCTGGGCACACTCTGTGTTCATTTGCAACACATTCCTGAAGTTTAGGAATGGTCTGGCTAGGAATTTGGTTTATATTTATGTACAGCCACTTTTCAATGAGGTTCTTTGCCTCGAGAGTGCCATCACTTTCTGTTCAAGGAATAGCCTGCTGTAGGGGATAGAACATAAGTAAATAAAGGTAGTATAGAAAGTAATCTTACCCCCTAAAGAGTTGCAGCTGAGCCAATTATTAAGGATTAGGAGCAGGCCTGATGTTAGCAGGCCGCAGCTGTAGCCAATAAAAAGAGTGTTATAAAAGAGTGGATTGGGTGGTTGAGGGAACTGGAGTCAGTTGGGTACTGTGAGGACAAGGAACAGTCAGTGCCTAGAGGAGCTGCCTAAAAACAACATCAAGGAGGTACAAAACTCCAGCAATATGGAACCCTTGCAATGTAATGACAGTAGAACTCTTGCACTATAATGACAACAGCCCACCCTGAGAACACTCCCTATCCACAGGAGAAGGGAGCCCCAAACCTCCCTCCTTGTACATCACAGTGCAAACAGAGAAAGGGCTGGTTTGAATCCCTCGTGGAGGAACAGAGCCCAGAGCAGCGTTTCCCAGGTTTGTGGGAGCCAGAGAATTCCGTGGTGATTCCCCCGTGGCTCCCTCCCTCCCTCTCCCTCCTCTCAGCATTCACCTCCTGGAGATGAGCTCGTCATCCGAGTCAGCGTCGTTAGCGCCCACTTGGTTCCCATCGTAGGTGTCGTCGTACTCGTCCTCGTAGTCCCCGTAGTCCCCGTAGTCGTGGCCGGCTCCGGGCGGCAGGGGCAGCTCCTCCAGCACCACGCTGTACTGGCTGTAGCGCTGCCGCTGCTCCGCCACCAGCCGCTTGTCATTCACCAGGCTCCGCGTCGTGTCCTTCTCCCTCCTGCCCGCGATCGGGAGGAAAAGGAAAAGGGGTTAAAACCCGCCCCTGAAGCTGCTTTTTGCCCTGTTAGTCAGTGGAATGTGAAGCAATGCAAGCCTCATCCGCAGTGCCACAGGCTCTCCTTACCCCACCTTTGGCCTGCTGCTTTGTGGAATCGTGGGATGGTTTGGGCGGGAAGGGATCTTAAAGCTCATCTTATTCCACCCTCACACCTTCCCCTAGCTCAGGATGCTCCAAGCCCTGTCCAACCTGGCCTTGGGCACTGCCAGGGATCCAGGGGCAGCCCCAGCTGCTCTGGGCACCCTGTGCCAGGTGCCCACCCTCAGAGGGAACAATTCCTTCCCAATATTCCTTCCATCCCTTCCCTCTGGCAGTGGGAAGCCATTCCCCCTCTTCCTGTCACTCCAAGCCCTGTCCAGCCTGGCCTTAGACACTGCCAGGGATCCAGGGGCAGCCCCAGCTGCTCTGGGCATCCTGTGCCAGGGCCTGCCCACCCTCAGAGGGAACAATTCCTTCCCAATATTCCCTCTATCCCTGCCCTCTGGCAGTGGGAAGCCATTCCCTCTTTTCCTGTCACTCCAAGCCCTTGTAAACAGTCTCTCTTCCATCTTTCTTGTCAGCCCCTTCAGGTTCTGGAAGGCCACAATTTGGTCATCTCAGAGCTTTCCCTTCAGGCTGAACAATCCTAATTCTCCCAGCCTTTCCACACAGCAGAGCTGCTCCATCCCTTTGATCATCCTGGTGCCTCCTCTGGTCTCACTCCAGCAGCTCCAGCTCCTTCCTGTGCTGAGCCCAAGGCTGGATGGAGTGATCCAGGGTGGGTCATTTGTACCAGGGCTGTTTGGCCACTAAAAAAGAGCAGGAATTGGAGACCACCACCAGCACTTCAGACAGAGAGGAAGCTTTCACAGGAGGCCAAATGCAATCCTATTGCAGATGAAACTTGGCCAAGGTGCATGGAGCACAAATGTGAGGGAAAAAGGACAAATGTAGATGGGGAGATCCAAAAAACAACCAGGTAAGAATGAGAATAAACACAATTCCCAAGGCAAAGAACAAAACAGTAGAGAGTGACTGTGATTCAACCTCTTGGAGCACTGCAAGGGCTTGTTTTTTTAAATTTAGAAGGCAGGTAAATTATAGTCATTTTATAGAAGGGAAGACCAAGAAACAGAGGGTTTAAAAAGCAGCTGCTGAGTGTCTCAAGCTGCACAAGCATAAGCTCTGAAGTCCCATTTTTCAGACCAGCCAAGTACATATTTACAGCAAAGCAATGGGGGATTCCACTGGCCAGCATTCCCAGGAGAACTTGCATCCCAGGATATAATCCCAGCAGTGGATTTTATCAGAGAAAGGACCTGTCCAAGGCAATGGCAGTGACTCAGGAAGGGACAGACTGAGGAGATGTGATCCAGCAGCCTGGATTTTCATTTGGAATCTCAAACCAAAGGAAGTTTGCAGCTGGAGGTGGTTCCTCTCTGCCATGACTCACTGCCTGCATTGGTGGCACACACAGTGCCCTGCCAAGCACGTGGTGAGCTCAGCAGCCTGGGATCCCTGGGATAACAGCTCCTGTGGGAATTCAGCTGAGCCTGAACCCAGCACCTGGTAATTGCTTCCTGTCCAGCTGGTCTGATGACTGCAGAGGAGCTGCATGAAATGGTCTGGGCACCAATCCCAGGAAAAACAGTGGGATAGCTCCTCTAGTCCCATGGAGCTCAGGACATGCTGTGGCTCCAGGAGACAGATTCAGCTGACAGCCAGGGCTGGACAGGCACAGACAAGTGCCATCACTTTTCAGGATCAGCAGAGTCTATGTTGGCACATTCATTTCCTTGTGTTTGATTCCCTCCTCATCCTGGCTGGATTTGTCTTTCTCAAGGACAGCCTCTGCCCCAAACTGCTGATGCTGAGAGTGGCCAGGACAACCTGCTCTGGCTCTTTAGGCACTATGGTAACACCAGGCTTAGCAACAGCACCCTGAACACAAGAGAATTTGGTGAGCAAAAGGTATTTAGAAGGAGAAAAAAAATATTTGATACAATTCAAATCCAAAGCAAATCTCAGACTAAGCTTGGAAAGCCCTGTTACCCCAAAACTGAGGTGAACCATCAGTGCTGAATATTAAATCCTGGAGACAAGGTACTGCAGCTTTTCCTTGGATTCAGTTGGATATGGTCATCTTTGGACACTGCTGTTCTCCAGGTTTTAAACTACTCAAACTACAATTAATGTGTCTGGAGTCCTGAAGACTTTTCCTAAGTGTTCTGAAATGAAGGGAGGCAAATGACAGCAGGAAGAGCAGCAGCAAGAGGATAATCCCAAGAGGTCACATAACTACAGCAGGAGACAGGAGAACTTCTCCAAGAATGCTGGTACTCCTGGGGGGCAGTGCCATGGGAGCACATCCCAGAGCCCAGCTCAGGGATGATTTACAGCTTCCAAAGCTCTCCAAGTGAGCTGCAGAGGGAGCTCCGAGCAGGACATTCCAGCCACTGGATGCTCTGTGCTGAACCCGGTGCTCTCTGGCCTTGACCAGCTGCTGCTGCTGTTGCAAGGCTCTGGGAAACTGGGATAACCCAGCACAGCTGTGCAAGGCTTTGGGAAACAGGGATAACCCAGCACACCTGTGCAAGGCCTTGGGAAACTGGGATAACCCAGCACAGCTGTGCAAGGCCTTGGGAAACTGGGATAACCCACACACCTGTGCAAGGCCTTGGGAAACTGGGATAACCCAGCACAACTGTGCAAGGCTCTGGGAAACTGGGATAACCCAGCACACCTGTGCAAGGCTTTGGGAAACTGGGATAACCCAGCACACCTGTGCAAGGCTTTGGGAAACTGGGATAACCCAGCACACCTCTGCAAGGCTTTGGGAAACAGGGATAACCCAGCACACCTGTGCAAGGCCTTGGGAAACTGGGATAACCCACACACCTGTGCAAGGCCTTGGGAAACTGGGATAACCCAGCACACCTGTGCAAGGCTTTGGGGAACTGGGATAACCCAGCACACCTGTGCAAGGCTCTGGGGAACTGGGATAACCCACACACCTGTGCAAGGCCTTGGGAAACTGGGATAACCCAGCACACCTGTGCAATGCACCTGTCTCACACAGCAAGGCTCCACCAGGAGGAGAAAGGTTCTGCCTGTGAATTCTCAGCTATGGACACAACAAAAGTCATGGCCTTGGCTAGAGAGAAAAGCAATTCCTTTCTTGCTTAGCCAAGACAGGATCAGCACTCTGGCACTGCTCTGAGGAGCTGGGTCACTGGACTAGGGAACAAAAGTGGTTTTCTCCTAGAGTTTGATGCAACTTTGCAACCAAAACCTTAACTGGGTGCTCTCAGGTCACGTGGCTCCAACTCCAGCCAGACTTTTCGTTATTTGCTGTAAGAATTCATCCCAACATTAAGATCACCCTTGGATGGTTAGAGGAGCAGTTTAAAGTCCAGTGGAAGGTGTCCCTGCCCATGGCAGGGGATAGAACAAGATGAGCTTTGAAGTTCCTTCCAACCCAAACCATTCCATGATTCTGTGATATTTTTTAAAAGAATCTGGAACAAGGGAACCACACTATAGGGTTGACATCAGTGGGAGCCAGCACCACACAACCAGCTAGGCAGAAAGCAAAGTGAAAACTGGGGGGGGTTTGTAGAAATCTCTGCTCGTGGCAGGGGGATCCCTGCTCATTGCAGGCAGATTGACTAAATGACCTTTAAAGGTCCCTCCCAACCCAAAGGACTCCACAAGTCCAAGTGCCCTTCTGCAGGAAGCTTTACAGCAGCAGGGACAACACAAGTAGTCTAAGGCACTGAATGTTATCAGATGTTGAAGTAGATGGATATTGAATCTTCCCTTGGCTCTAGATCAAATCATTAGCTATTCTCAGCTCTGAGTCACAATCCCAGGCTCAGGGATGGGTCTTTTCAAGGTTTGTTGTTCAGTGCAAGTTTAACATTAAGCCCAAGGAGGAAGAGCCTGACATTACAAATGAGCTTGGCAGAGCAATCTCCAGCAGCAGACACAGGAAAGCCAATTAGGAAAAACACTAAGTGAAACCAACCCCCTCATAATATTTCACTTCACTTTCCCAGACAAACAGGTGGGAAACATTTTTGATAAGCCTTCCCCCCTGCCAAAACATTCCTGCAGGAGGTTTTTAGGAGAGATAAATGTGGAGGTTCCCAGGTGTTTGTTCCTCCTGACAGGCAGAGTTAATGACTGGGTGCCAACACTCACCTCTTGCCTTTCTGGATCCGAGACACATCCACTGCATCTCTACTGAAAACATCAAACTCATCATTCTGGAAAATGTTACAGCGAGAGCTGACCAGAGGGGTAGGGTCTGGCTTCAGCTGTCTGTTAAAAAACAAGGAGAGAGAATAAAAACAAAAGTGAAGTGAGGAAGAGAAATCCTCTCCCTTCCCTAAGCCCTTGCTTTATCCTTTATCAATCCCAAAATATCCTGAGCACACCAAGAGGGGCTGGCTGAGTCACAGGGCACAATCCCTTCCCTTCCCAAAGCTTGGATTTGAGGGGAAACTAAAGTAACTCACAGAAAGCCAAGAGAAAATTCTTCTGTTCATTTCAGAGTCTATCAAAGCGTGCAGGACAACAGAATATTCAACAGACTGCCTGGTCTCAACACAGTGACTCAGTGAAGACAAACACTAAGTGTGATGAATTACAGGCTGGAAAAAATTCCAATAATTTGTTGCTGCTGATTTCAAGATATTTATCTCCCTTGTTAAATCTTTCCCAGGGTTCCAGGTTTATGTTTGCTCAACTTGTAAGTCAAAAGACTGTACTTTTGACATTCATTTTGGTGGTGCAGACAGCTCAGCTGGGCAGCTGCAAATGCTGCTGTGCTCCCCTTTAAATCAGCAGGGGTCACAATTCAACATTTCCTATCGAGCCAGCAGCTTTGTTTCAAGATGCAAAAGGCAGGAAGAAAAAAAATGCAGCTCTATCTTGTGGAACTGCTGGCTTTGCAGAAAAACCAATCCTTCCTAAAGCCCGTCCTGCACTACTTGTGCCAAAGTCAGCAGATCTGATTGTGGGAACACAAAGATTGTTGCAAAACTAAGATTTTTTTTACATCATTTTTCCGATAAAGATGCTTTCCTTTAATGCAACAGTGAGACAGTCTGCCCATAACTCCATGAAATGTGAACATACAGCACATTCACATCCTGATGCTCTGTCAGGAACTGCTGGTGCAGCACAAACACACACTCACAGCTGCAGACAAACTCCAACAGCTCAATCCTGCCACCAGCTCTAAACCCTCCATCCCCTGCCCAATCCAGGAAAGCAGGACAAGCCTGGCAAGTTTGTCAGAGGGAACATAAAAATGGATCTGATTTGTTCCATCTTCACTCACAAAGCAGCAGCCTGTTAAATAACCATATTTGACCCTGTGGGTTGAATTCTGGCTGAATTCCAGCTGAAGATGCCCTTTCCTGCAGGACAGCTGGGATTTTCACAACAAACGCTGTGACAACGCTGCAGCAAAATAACTTTTGAAGGCAACATATTCTATTGCCCAGCATTCTATTTTATTCTAGTCTAGTTCAGTCTAGCATTTCATGTACAAGTGGTTTTGTCCCCTGTCACAAAACACAACCCTGCACCTGCTCTACTCTAACACTGAGCAGCAAAGGTCCCACTCCTCTGCAGGGACACAAGGAGGGCAGAAAACTGGTGACAGGTGACAATGAGAAGCCTTCACTTCAGTTCTCTACCCCAAATATACAAATTCTTAGAGCTCTACAAGTGTTGAGCTTCCAGTGAGAACAATTAAGTGAGACAGAAACAACCAGAGGTTGTCCCACACCTTTGCATCCTTCGGTCCAGCTTATCCAGGTATGGCAACAACTTCTCCTCCAGGATGTTGTTGATCACCTGCTCTGTGTCGTATCCATACTCCTCCAGGCAGGCCAGGATGAATCCCTCTCCAAGATCTGGCAGCAGATCCTTCACTTGGGAGATCAGGGAGTCCAGCTCCACGCCGCACACACAGGCAACGGGCGCGGCCGCCGCGCCGGCACACTGGGGACACCAAACACACCTGGTGGCACTGGGCAGGGACACAGCTGCTGAGGGCAGGCAGTGGGCACAGAAATACAGGGCAAGCAGCACTCTGGGCCCTCAGGGTTTACATACACAAGTTCAAAACTGGAGCCAAAAGAGAACCCAGCTGTTTAAACTACACAAGGTTTCCAGCACAGATTTGGGCACACAGCTCCTTTTGCCAGTCCCTGAGTCAGCAAGGACACCCTGGAGAATCCCTTCCTCAAATAACAGGCAAGCTCTGCATTTCAAAAATATGCACATGAACTGCAGGGATGAAACAGAGTATTTGAATAATCTCCAGCAAGGGAAAACCCAAGCCATGAGAGCTGGAAGCAATTTGCTCAGAGATAACTCAGGATTCAGGTGTAGCTTCATGTCTCATTTCCCAAGGCTGCATGGAGATACAGCAAAGGTCAGAAATTACACCAAATCTCATGTTGTCCCCAAAGCTGAGCAAACCAAGCCTGTCCTCACAGATAGAGGAAGGCCAGGAAGAGCAGAGCCCCAGGAAGAGCAGAGCCCAGTCCCAGCACAGAGCTGTACCCACCTCATCCTCCAGGGCACACGCAGCCCCCAGATCCTCCCTGTCCTCAAGGGTGCTCTCCACTATGGCTGGATCTCCGTTGGATGCTGCTGGAGCTTTAACAGCTTGTCCTTTTTTCCTGTCTACTCCTTCCCAGGCACTTTCCACTGCTTGGAGGATATAGGCTGTCCTGGTCTCATCTCTAAGAGCACAGCATTAAGGACATTTCTGGATGCACATGTTCAGGGATCACCCTGAAGTAACTACGGGATTGTCAGCGACGTCCAAATTTGTGCCTGCATCAACACTCACAAAACCATGGAATGGCTTGGGTGGGAAGGGATCTTAAAGCTCATCTTGTCCCACCCCCTACCATGGGCAAGGACAGCTTCCATGACACCAGATTGCTCCAAGCTCCATCCAAGCCTTGGACACTTGCAGGCATGGGGCAGCCTCAGCTTCTCTTGGCAACAACTCCCCCCTATCCTTTTTTTTCTGTTAAGGGAAAACTTTCCAGTACTTCTTGCCAGTCATGCAGCTTAACCAGAGGCAGAAATGTCACTGGTGTGAAGGAATCCAAGAGCAGCCAGGGGTGCAAAGCCCAAGGATACAGTGCAGAGGATGCCTGCTGGAGCAGACTCACATCATCCTCAACAGGGAACAGCTCGTCGTAGTCACGGAGAAACCTGAAAACACAGGAGCAAGTTTAATCAGTGAAGCTCAATTAATTACCACTACTGTGCCTCTCTGACTGCCTCAGTGCTAAGGTAGGAACAGAGAACTTCTCGCCCAATGCTGGATTCCAGCCATGCCTGATTTTGGTGCCACTACACCACAGCAACACTCCTCATGTGTGAGGGCTGGAACCCAGTGCTGCATTACAGGGAAAATCTGCTTTACCATGTGAATGTGCTCAGAATGCCAGCATGGGCAGGAGGACAAGATGGAATTCCCAGTTCTGCCACCTCCTTTGCATCTCCAGCATTCATGTTTAATATTTTTCTGGTCTGGTCAGCCCAGCTGGAAAGCACAGATCAGTAATAACAGCCTAACTTGTCAAGGCAGCTAATGGCTAAATTGCTCTTCTTTTCTTTGAGAGGCTGGATTAAAGGGAGTGAAGAACAGCATTTCTCAGTGCCAGAGTCTGTGCTGCAGGCTGAAATCCTCTCACTGCACCTCTCCCAACTACTTACAAGATTTCTGACTCCCAAATGCCTCGTAATGCTGCCTCAGGCAATTCTGCTGTAAAGAATGGCAGAGGAAGGAGCTGAGCCCCCTCAGGCCTCTTGCCAGCCAGACTCACCTCCTCTCCTGAAGCACTGAGGTGAAGATCTGCAGAAATTCCTCAATAAATGGCTGAATATTCTCACAGCTGCAGGAAAACAGCACAGTGAACACTCAGAGGCAAGTCTGCCAACCCCACCAGCCAAACCACTCACATTTACACACCAAGGTAAAGCCCCATTTGAAAAGAGATTTCAGGCCACATTTGGCTTTCACAGGAGCAAAGAGTCAAATGGAAGCAAGTGGTTTTTAAGGCTTCAGCAAACATCTCAGCACTTTGATCTAAAGCTGTATCACACCTAGAATTACAAGTTTTCAGACAGACTTTATAAATAATTTGATGCCTCAGACTTGCAGTGAGCAGGAAATGGTGTGCACAGCTTTTGGAATTGTGCCTTTATGATGTCTTGGGATTACACCAGTGAATTTTCCAGGAAGTTTGTGCTCATCTGTGTAAGAACACCTGCCAAGCAAACTCCCACTGCAGCCTCAGTACCCAAACCCTGGGTGCTGCTGAGCTCCAAGCCTTGTTCCAAGGCACCTTTGGGTGGGAAGGGACCTTAAAGCCCATCCTGTTCCACCCCCTGCCATGGGCAGGGACACCTTCCACTATCCCAGATTGCTCCAAGCCCCATCCAGCCTTGCCTTGGACACTTCCAAGGGTGCCCAGCTGCTCTGGGCACCTGTGCCAGGGCCTGCCCACCCTGCCAGGGAACAATTCCTAATTCCCAATATCCCATCCATCCCTGCCCTCTGGCAGTGGGAGCCATTCCCCCTTTTCCTGTCACTCCAAGCCCCTCTCTCCAGTCTCTCTCCATCTGAATTGTTGGACCTCCAGGTCCTGGAAGGTCACAATCAGGTCTCAAGGTGTTACACATGACCAAGCTTTGCACGAGCCACACACTGGAGTCAGAAAGCTTATTGGGCCCAGCTCACCACAGATTCTGGACCAAACAGCTCCATCTGGAACATTCCTGATACACAGGGCAACAGAATTTGACCTTAGCCAAGCTTTTGGCTACGATCCCAACACAAATAGCAGTTTCTGTTCATTTTCTCCAGTAAATTTGTAAATGAGAAGCAATTTCTCCCACACAGCAATCAAGTAATTGGTGAGTAGCACAGAGCCAAGTGCCAATACCTGCTCTCTAGGATGGGCTGCAGACAGACTTGGTTTACTAGGATGTGAAAAACCTCTATCATCTTCTTTCTGGAGTGTGAAATCCTCCTCCACAAATCAGCAAAAACACTTCAGAGAGAGCAAAAGACACTATTGGTGTCAGCACCAGAATCTGTAACACACCTTTATGCCAGAGTTAATCCTCTAGAAGAAGAATTTCATTAGGATTAATATCTCCTTGCTGCAAAGACCAGATATTAGACACATTTCATGGTCATTAAGGAAAATCCATGCCCTAAATAAAGCTTTTCAATCCCAATTGTTCTGGCAGCTCCCCACACGAGACCCCTGCTGTACCAGCACAGCCTGTGCCTCACAGTGAGACTGAGCTACACAAAGATATCATTCATGTTCTCACACTTTGTAACAATTTGAAAGCACCTCCCATCAAATTCCTTCTTACACAGCACTAAAAATGATTCGTCACCCCACTGCCCAGGAAAATTTGCTATTACAGAAGTCATCTCTTCAGAGCCCTTTGAAGCAGCATAAAAAAAGCCAGGCTCCTCAGGGATGGGTAAAGCAGCATGAAGTGAATTCTTAACTAAGCCCTGGGAAGTCTCACTGAAGATCCAAAGGAAACCTTTGCAGGAATTCTCACCTGTTATCTTCATAATGCCTCTTCTTGATTGCAGATTCCAGCTCAGGAATTGCCAGTTCATAAAATGAAGCTAATCTGTACAAAGGGGAACAAACCTGTACCTGTCAGCTGAGGTTCCAAAAGTCATTTGCTAAAAGGCAGAACAAATGGCTGATTTCATTAAACCCTCCTCACCAGCAGTACCCATGAGCATCACCTCATTTTGGTATTTTTGCCCCAGAACACAAGCAAACACACCACAGAAAAAAGAGCAGCACTCTAAGGAAATCACAGGGAGGTCTTTGAAGGGGTAAGAAAGAAAAGCATTTGAGAAGCATCCTGGTGCTGATCAGAACCATCTGCTCAACCCAGAAAAACTCCCAACACAGATCTGCAGCCTGAAAAGACCCAACACTCTCAGAATCACAGAAAGCTTCATGTTGGAAAAGCCCTGTGAGAGCATTGAGTCCAACCATTCCCCAGCACTGCCCTGGGCAGCTGTGCCAGGGCTGGACATCCCTTTCCATGAAGGAATGTTCCCTAACACCCAACCTGAACCTCCCCTGGCACAGCTTGAGGCTGTTCCCTTGTCACTCTCTCCCAGCCACTCAGCTTTTGCCAAACCTCACTGATATTTTCTAGCATAAAACTTGGGCATAACATCAAAGGCATTTGTTTTCAGACCCTGAAGAACTATTTATCTGAAATACTTTCTGCTTCCCTTGCTTTGGGTCCTACAGCAGGAAGTTCCTTTTGTCCATAACTGGTCCCTCTCCACCCCTGCCAGAGCACACCCAGTACTGTTCAGCTGACTGGAAATTGTCCTGGATGCCTGGCTCTAGGATCACTCCTAAATAACAACAGACATAGAACAGAAAACCCACACATCCCTATATCCATGTATTTATAATGCTGCATTCCTGTCAGAGAGAACCCAGCAGCCTCTGCATCAAATCTGTCTCCTCATCTAACAATGGGACAGGACACAGTGGCACATTCAGTATTTGTACATGGCCAGGACAAACTCAGTCTGCACTCCAAGACATACCTGTAACAAAACTCATGTTTTTGGAAGGTCTGGCAAGCCAAGGGAAAGACATCAAGAAAGGCCCAGAGAGTTGTGCAGGTGTCACATAAATACAGCACAATGTCCTTCAGCTCCTGAGAGGGAAAGAGCAGTTACTGAGGGAAGAGCCAGGCAAGTCTTCCCAGCAGGGACACATAATATTGGGGCCAGGCCTCTTCCTGCCTGCAGAGTCTGTATCAACCATAAACCTGTTACAGGGCCTGGGGGCAGAGACAACATTTCTCCTAGAACTCCTAATGTTTGTTTAAAGGTCTATAATGCAATCCCAACTGTCTGCTTTCATTAAAGATCCTGGGAGATTATGAGAACCCTCATCAGATCCTGCTCTGGACAGTGGCTTTGCCCTCAATACACCCTCCATATGTGGAATTCTTCCCCATGCAGCACTTTTCATGAAGCACTGCACAGCAGAACCATGGGAATCAAAGGGAACATGGGAAACATGGGAATCAAAAGGAACATGGGAAATGTGGGAATCAAAGGGAACATGGGAAATGTGGGAATCAAAGGGATGTTTTCTGCAGTCTGGTCCAGTGCAAGCTGCACTTCCAAGGCAGCTGAAACAACTGAATGACACTAAATGACAGTTTCAAACTATCACTTATCAATAAATCACAGATTGGTTTGGTTCCACACACAAACTGAAAGACTAAGGTTTTTCAGAGGACCACATTTACTGTCTTGGTACAGCCCCCAGCACATAAACCCCTCTTACTTAACTGCAGTTAAATGACACTGTTCTTAAAACACACATTTCTGAAAGAAAAAAAACCAGCTCTTATGACCTCCAGGGTTAGGTGGAGACTTCTGTCAGATATTGTTACATTATTTATGAGCTCATTAAGCAAAAAAGTTGCCAGGTTAAAAACTATCCATGTTCCAAAGGATATGGTTGAAAGGAATCAGCACATGGTGGAAAGGTTTTATCACCATGTCCCAGGACAAAGAGTGCAACAATGGCACAGAACCATGAGCTGTAGGAGCTCTTGGGAACAGAATGATCCTCTGTGGCCTGTTCAGGGTACAGAGAGTTCACTCCTACCTGGAGGGGCATGTTCCCTGCAGTCACACTGACTTTCTCCTCCAGTTTCTGGGGCTCAGCAGAGGCCCCTTCACACTGCAAACCACACTTGTGCAAAATATTGTTGAACACCTAAATCAGGAAACAGGGCAGTGTTAACAGACAGGAGCCAGCAGTGGGACACAGCAGAGAAGGCAGAAGCTGAAGGAGAGTGGGAGGGAAGAATCATCAAGTAATAATTATAGATAATGTTCAAAACCTCCCTGACACACATTAACAAACTAGGGAAAGGGAGAAACAGCAAAGTCAGGGGAAGCTTAGGCTGGATATTAGGGAAAGTTCTTCCCCCAGAGGGTGGTCAGAGCTCAAGGAGTGTTTGGACAATGAGTGGGATTGTTGGGGTGTCTGTGCAGGGCCAGGGGTTGGGCTTGATGATTCTTGTGGGTCCCTTCCAACTCAGGATATTCCATGATTCAAGAAACACATTCTCCCCACCTACAATGTTCCCTCTCCACTCTTCAAGCTATGCCACGTTTCCAGATGAAATCCCAGCAGGAAAGCAGTACCTGGAGGATAGTGGGCAGAGTTTCATCAAGGTCACTGAAGTAACTGGGCTGCTGAGTGAAGATATTTCCTGAAAGGGGAAAGGAGAGCATTTCCATCAGTTCAGACATTGATGCCAACGAGCAAATTTGCATCAGAAAATGGTACTTGTGCTATTGCTGACACCCCAGACACACCTACTGACCATGTGGGACACAGCCCACCCTGACTCCTCAGCTCATGCACAGGCCCTGCTCCTAAAAAGCTGATCCATCAGCTCTCCAATGCCCCTGGAGATCCAGCAATGGGAATATGCTCATCAGAGCAGAGCAAATGAGATGGCAGATGATTCACGCTCCAGGGGCTGAATCAATGAATAATGCAAATACTATCACTGAACAACCCCAGTTCCTTTATTTGACAACTGGAGTTGACTTTTAATTACTGATAACAGTTCAGCACACACCAGGAGATGTGCTGCCGAATATTTCTTAAAGGTAATGAGGCTTTAGTAACACCTGCTATTATATTACTAGGGCTCCATTATCTTTACAAAATACTCCACTGAGTAATGCCACACCATAAATCCTCACCAAGCAAGCACCAAGGCTGCTATTTTCCTGGGAATTACTGTTCAGATTATGACAATTAAGAGTTCTCCAGCAAGGACAGAGCTATGAGACAAGTTTCAGATAAACTTCTCAGATACCCTGAGAAGAACCTCAAGTTTCTGAAGTTATGAATTACACACCAGAACTGCTCACACCATTACTGTCCCAACACAGTGAAATAATCAGGTGAGGAAATCTTTGGTCACCTGCATGCAGCATGACTGTGTGGCAGTCCAGAGCACAATTCAAAGGAGGTTTCATTACTTAGGTCTCTTTTGGAATATTTTAAGACCCAGATAATCTGAGCTTCCCATCTGAAAGGGAAGCATCTGTCTTGCCATGCCTGCTTTCCATCTCTGAGGCACAACAGAGGAATTTAGAGTAGAAGCTACTGAAAAAGGATAAAAAGATTAAAAATGCAAAGGTTTATCTAAGATTTTCTGGCTGGAAATCTGTCTACACCACATGATCTAACTAACACTTCTCATGTGAGCGAAGTTGGAAATGAGACAAAAATAACTACCAAAGAAATGGAAAACCTTCATCCCATGAGCTGCAGACAAAGTGGGTTAGAATTCAGGAAGAGCTGACTTAATCCAAGGGTAGATATTGTTCCACTCAGGTGATGTTAAAGATCACAGGATTGGGAAGGGAGCACAGGATAAAGAGAGAAGCTAAATCAATATGCTCTATCTTCCCTCCTCAGCACCCATGGCTGGATGTTCCTCCCTGTGTACTCACCACCAAAGCCTTGTGTACAGACACAGAAACCCAGGGATAAGCACAGCTTGAGCAAGGCTCTGAAGTGTTTGTGGTTTGGAAGCTCTGGATACATTCAATGCCTGCACTGAAGTTTCAGGTTCTCCCACTTCCCAGAGCAGTGATTACCTCACACTGAATGTTTCACTTGGCTGCCAGCTCTGGGAACAACAGCACTCACAGCTGGACTGTGCCCATCTCCCAACCCTCCTCACCCTTTCCCATCTCTACCAGGGTTTTACAGAGCCCCACATTCCTCTTACAAGGGCTGAGGGCACATTCAATTGGCACAGGAAACAACTGAGCCTAGGTTTATGTCTAACAACATGAGCCTAGCTCAGGGCAGCAAAGCAGGACATGAAGCTTTCCTTGGAACAAGCAAAGTACACACTGAAAAAGAAAAGCACAATTTGATCTAGAAATGACAGATCTTAGGTGCTACTGAACAATTAATTTTCAGAACAGTTCACTGGTATAAACCCCACTAAGTCACTTCCCATATAAGCAAAAGCCTAAATGTAGCAAGTTGTTCCTTGGCTTTTACTGACCAATCATCTTCTGGAGCAGGAGCCCATTTCCTTTCCCAAAAAGGACACAGAGATCCAGAATCTTGGGGATATCAAACAGGAAGTTGTTGTAAATAATTTTTCCAAAGACAGAGGGAGTGATAAAATGATCCTACAAAGACAGGAAAAAAAAAGGAATTTAAAGGGTAATCCATATCTTGCTCTGCAGTAACTCCAGCATTATAATGGCATCTGTAAAAACATCTCTCAAAGGTGTATTAAGGAATTTATTTCATAGAAGGCAGCAACTCTTCTTGAAACAGCTTCTGTGGAGCCATCTATTCCCACATTCCTGTCCCTGCCACACCAGGCACCCCACTGATCCCTTCACCAGCAGCTGAATTAATCTACCTGAAAGTTTTACAAAAAATCTCCCTGCAGGTCCCCAGTTCCCAGCCTGACACCAGAACAGGTCAGGAGCAGGAATGAATAACCAGGCACAGGGACAGCCTGAGGTTCCTGCACCCTGGAGAGCAGAACCCAGCACCAGAGACCACAGAATCAGGGACAGGCAGGGAGAAACCCCAGAGCTGCAGCTCTCCATGCTGACTGCTGAACACCGTGCCAAAACTCATCACATTTGAAGGCATTTCTTACAACATTCTGGATGAGAAAAATCCCATTGTCTGACATTGAGAAACAGGCAGCTGAAATGGGATTTTGGATTTTCAGAAGCCCAGTTTGCCTGTGACAGCAAATGTTTTCAATCCCAGTGAAAGGCAGGGCACATTCTCCCTGCTGAAGCAGAGGGATGGGGCTCAGTGCTGGCCAGGTTCCCTTTCCAGAACTCCTGCTGACTCCTGCATGACAATGGACTATTCATTCCCTGCAGATCACTCAACTAGAAAATGGTTTCAAATGCTTGCCTGCCTCTCCGAGTGGTGAGGTTTAATCAGATCCTGCAATGAAAGACACCACAGAGGTGTCAGGTACTTCTGCTGAAGTGGTGCCAGCTGCAGGCTCCAGCATTCCTTCATCCTGCTCCTGTCCCACTCCTCCACTCCCAGGCCTTTCCCTCAAAACATCCTGAACCTCAGCAGGGTGATAGGCAAGAGAATCAACACAGCCCTAGCACATGATGAACCAATGAGGATATCCAGTGATTGCTGCAACACAAGGGGCCTCCCTCACCCTGCCCAAAGGCCTGGTGAAAATCCCAAAGCTCCAGATGGGAGCTGCACTCACACAATTAGTGATGAGGATGTCTTTAATTATAGAATCTCAGAATGGTTTGGGTGGGAAGGGACCTCAAAGCCCATCCAGTGCCACCCCTGCCATGGCAGGGACACCTCCCACTGTCCCAGGCTGCTCCCAGCCCCAGTGTCCAGTCTGGCCTTGGGCACTGCCAGGGATCCAGGGGCAGCCCCAGCTGCTCTGGGCACCTGTGCCAGGGCCTGCCCACCCTGCCAGGGAACAATTCCTGATTCCCAATATCCCATCCAGCCCTGCCCTCTGGCAGGGTGAAGCCATTCCTTGTGTCCTGTCCCTCCATCCCTTGTCCCATGTTCCTCTCCAGATCTCCTGAAGCCCCTCTGGACACTGGAAAGGGCTGTGAGGTGTCTCTGGAGCCTTCTCTTCTCCAGGCTGAATTCTTGATGATGCCAAGATAACTGTAATTTAGAGAGATTTCACTGTATGTCCAAAATTTGGGGCAAGTTCAAGGAGAGACAAGTATTAGCAGGAATTTTGTGGCACCATGTGGCCCTGAGGGAGTGAAGGCTCAGGAAGTGGTGGCCTGAAGAGTCTGTTCCATGTGGCCACACAAAGGCCAACGTGCACTCTCTCCTCTTCCCATGACATATCCAAGCACTACACATGGATAACCTGCTATTACTCAGGAAGGAGATGCAGGCAATTTGGATACTTCAGCTCTGAGTGTTATCACCTCCACTTTGAGACCCCAACTGATAAAATCATCAGCGAGAGGAATGCCGTGCCAGAAGGAAAATGATTCATTTCTCTCTTTTTTCCTAAGTCACACAGCCTGGAGCACCTGCAAAGCATGGGAATATTCACCTTGGACTCTTTGTGGGTGGACATCCTGAGGAAGGTGAGGAAGACACTGCGATGGAGGCATTTCTGCAGCTCCTGCACCTCCGGGTGGCAATCCCACAGCACGTCGAACTTGCGAGGGGCCGAGCGCAGGTAGGAATCCAAACACTTCTGCAGGCTCTCATCAAATATCACCTGGCACAAGGAAAGGCAGGAAAATGGGAAGGAGGGAATGTCACACCTTCATAGGTTGTGCTCCTGAGCAGCCCAGTTAAATTTAAAGCAATCTAAAACACTCAGACACACGAAAAGGACTCCCATATCCATCAAATACAAGCCAACTCTTAAAATTCCCAATGGAAAATCCTTAGGGAAATACTTTCTTTGCATTCTAAGGTGCAGTAATGGAAATTAAATGTTTCCTGCATGACACAATAAGCATAAACAAATCTTTATGAAAATGATGTAAGGTTCATGGCTTTTACAAGCACCTGGATGTTTACGCTGTATTTTCAGATAAAAAGCAATGATTACCTGGCACCAGAACTTGTCATGAGGCAGAGCCAGAAGCCAGTTCAGGTCATCTGCAATGAATTTTGCTCGTTCCAGGAATTCCTCCACCAGAGCAGGGTCTCTGATGGCAGGAGGGGGCTTGTACAGCACGAACGACCGATCTGCTTTAATTTCTGGGTGCTGCAGAAAGCCAAAAAACCACTATATTAGAACTGTATTAGAACTCCAGACCAAGTGACAGGAATGTCACCAGCTGCTCACTGAATTCCAGGAAACACAAAGGTACCTTTTAATACAACTTAACATTATCAAATCACAGAATGGTCTGTGTGGGAAGGGACCTGAAAGCTCATCCAGTTCCACCCCTGCCATGGGCAGGAACACCTTCCACTATCCCAGGCCCATCCAGCCTGGCCTTGGGCACTGCCAGGGATCCAGGGGCAGCCCCAGCTGCTCTGGCCACCCTGTGTCAGGGCCTGCCCACCCTCACAGGGAACATTTCCTTCCCAATATCTAATCTAAATTTCAGTTTGAACCAATTACTCCTTGTTTTGTCACTACAGTCCTGATGACAGGAACATTCCCTTCCCTGGTAACTTCTCATTTTCTACCCTTTCAAGGCAGTGGGTTTGTATCTTTCTTTATGAGCAACATTTTCAGACCTTGATAATTTGGCAGTTGTTGCTCCTTGCTTTCTCTTAACCAAAGCCTGACAAAGCAATCCTCCCACGCCATCAAAACAAAGAGCAGGAGCTTCCTGGCATGCCTTTGAACTCTCTTTTTCCTCTGAACTGGTTCTTGCACAATACTCCATGAACTCAAAGTGACACAACCATCAAAGACAGAAACACTTTGCTACCTTTCCCAAAGGTTACTGAACAGGCTTTGCCCAAATACACCCACCCTAAAAGGAGAATTCAGTGAGCAGCAGGTTTGGGCTCTGCCTCATCCCACATGTGTGCTCAGGGTAAAGCTCCTCAGGAGTGAGCAGCACTGACAGTCCCACTTCTGCAACACACCCAGAAGGCTCTCTCCAGGCCTTATTTCTGGGAGAAAAGGGTTTCTGTGGGTTGAATTTTCTGGTTTCATCAAGCTGAAGGCACAAGGGATGAATCCCAGTTCCACAGCTTGGAGCTAAACCTGAGGCAGAGCTTGCAAAAACTCCCAGAGCATCCCTCCATGGGAGCAAAGGTTACAGACTCAAGGGAGGGAGTTGTGCTGTAAACACAGTTCACTCCAGATGCTGAACACAGCAAGTTTGGGTCTCATGTTTTGGGCTTTTCTTATGGTGGGTAAATGAAAGCTCAACTATCTGAACACATTAAAATAAATTCTTTAACAAGCAGGCTGAACAAATTTTACAGAATCACAGAATCACAAGCAGGCTGAACAAATTTCACAGAATCACAGAATCTCCTGAGCTGGAAGGGACCCCCAGGGATCACTGATCCAGCCCCTGTCCCTGCCCAGACCCCCAACAATCCCACCCTGTCCATCCCTGGCAGTGCTGCCCAAAGGCTCCTGGAGCTCGGGCAGCCTCGGGGCTGTGCCCATTCCCTGGGCAGCCTGGGCAGTGCCAGCACCCTCTGGGGGCAGAACCTTGCCCTGATCTCCACCTAAACCTCCCAGCACAGCTCCAGCCATTCCTGTCACACATCCCAGACAAGCCTCAGTATAAGACAATGATTTATTGAAGGTCTGTTTGGCTTTCAGGAAAACCAGAGCTCACCAGTGCTGGCAGAGTTCTCAGCTTCCCTGTCTTGGGATCCCTTTCTGTCAGCTGGAGCTCGTCCAGAGGCAATGCTGGCATCCTGGTGGCTTCTTCCTGTCCTCAGCAAACAAAAGCAGCACAGGATGCACTTCACAAGGTCAGTCAGGCAAGAGCAGAACAAAAGAGGCTGCAGCCCTGCTGTAACAAACTCACACTGGCTGGGAATACATTTATGCCCAGCAATTTATTCCCCACCAAAATGCCAAATTCTGGAGGAACCTGGATGTGTATCAGAGGAAATCTGGAATGTGATGCTAAACTTTCAGCCCTGATCATTACTGAAAGGCCACAGATATCTTCCAGGACAACAAAACACATTTGGGGACACTGTTCAATATGGAAATTAGATATTTAAATGGGGTTGCTGAAGAGCTGTGCTGAACTCTGGCCTTGGCAGCCTCTTTCAGCATTTGCAGTGTCTCTCCTGACAGCACAAACTGCAGGAACAACCCAAACCCAGCCTTGCCTGGGCTTTAAAAGAGTATTTTTGGTGCCTGTGTGTAGAATCTCACAGCTCTCAGCCAGACAAGGGACACAAGCTGAGCCTACAAAAGCCTTCCCCACTCCTGCCAATTCCCATGTGCTCACAAAACCACAGCTTCATCTCCAACAGCATTTGTGGGCTCAGAAATGTTTCAATTAACTTCCTGAAATTAACTATAAGTCAAATATTAGAGTAACTCGATAGAAAGAATGTTATGGGCACTGTTAAAAAAGTTCAGAGTTACAAAAAATGAAAGTAGCAGGATAAAAGAGCTTTTGAATTCTTTAGGGGGTTATGAGTTCTGCAAAATGGTACTAAAAAGTTATGGTCTTATTAAGAAAGTCACACATCTCCTTAGATGCATGTTTAATTGCAGTCACAGTGCCTGGGCTGAATAACAATTAAAACAAGAGCAGTGTCTCTAAAGCTGAACGACTCTGACTCAGGAGTGAGGTCATGGTTTAGACAGCAAGTGAAAAAATAACATTTTTCATTTCATAAATTTGTCACCTATGGATTTAGGCAAAAATTCTGTAATCTAACATTTTAGAGCTCAATTAAAATAATACAGCAGAGCAACAGCAATACCCACAGCTTAGAAAACTAAAAATAATTCTGTCTTTTCAGAGGAGTTTAAAAATTAAAATGTTGACAGAAGCAACTATTACTTTATGATGAACAATTTCTTTGGGGAAAAAAAAAAAACCCAAAACTTTTTAGCAGAATAAGCCAAGCTGGCTTTCAGTTCAGTTTTGTCATATATTTAATTTGGCTCTTAAAATTTTTCGAGTCATTCTGAAAGTTGCACATAGAAATGTGTGTTTGTAACACAGAAAAACATGCCAAGTGTCTCATTTCAAGCCTGGAAGGCACCAAAGTCTCCAGTCCAAGTCAAAAACATCCTGGAAGAGACAGAAGCCCTGCCCAAAAGCTTGTTCAGCTAGAGAAAAGAATAAACCTGAGTATGGGATAACCTCAACAGAGAATCATTCCTGATCATTCTCAGAAGCTTTTCCCCCCATAAAGAACTTTGGTCTAAACCACAAGCCCACAATTAATCTGTCATGCCCAGTGATTTCAGGTACAGTGGAAGAGCCAGACAAAGAGCATGAACCAGGGAATGTTATTTTCCCAGGGAAATTTATTTTCCCAGTGCCAGAAATGATCCCTGCCTTGCAATTCCCACTGATGAGCACATCCATGGAGACATCCAGGGTGAGGTGACACTGCTGAGGATGAGGCAGCCACCCCAGCACAGCTAGCACAGGGAATGCTGCAGCATGGATTCATGGAATGGTTTATGCTGGAAGGGATCTTAAAGCTCATCCCATTCCACCCCTCACCATGGGCAGGGATTATCCCAGGCTGCTCCCAGCCCCAATGTCCAGCCTGGCCTTGGGCACTGCCAGGGATCCAGGGGCAGCCCCAGCTGCTTTGGGCACCCAGTGCCAGGGCCTGCCCACCCTGCCAGGGAACAATTCCTAATTCCCAATATCCCATCCATCCCTGCCCTCTGGCAGTGGGAGCCATTCCCTGTGTCCAGTTGCTTGAGGCCCTTGTCCCAAGTGCCTCCCCAGCTCTCCTGGAGCCCCTTTAGGCCCTGCAAGCGGCTCTGAGCTCTCCCTGAAGCGCTCTCCTCTCCAGGTGAGCACCCCCAGCTCTGTCACCTCGGCCCTACCCCAAGGCCAGACACCCCGAGTTAACCCAACACCGCCGGTTAACCCGGGCCCCGCCGCTCCCGCCGCCCCCCGGCCACGTCCCCTGCCCGGTCCCTGTCCCTGTCGTACCGGGCCCTGCCCAGCCGCTGCCGCCCGCCCCACCCCAACCCCGCCACAGCTGCCCGAGCCCGGTACCAGCGCTCGCGTCCCACCAGCCCCGCGACGCTTCCGTGGCCAAGCGCTGCTTCCGGCCCCGAGCGGAACTACCGGGCTGGGCGGGGCCCGGGCCGGCTCCGCCTGTGGGACTGGCCCGGCTCCGGCTCTGCCTGTGGATCGGGGGGCGGCTCCGGGGCCGGGTGTGGATGAGAGGGGCGGCACCGGGGCCAGGTGTGGATCAGAGGGGCGGCACCGGGGCCAGGTGTGGATCAGGGGCCGGGAGCCGGGCTCGGGCCGGGCTGCAGGGGCCAGCCGGGCGGGTTTAGCCCCAAAGCCCCGCTCGCCCTCCGGACCGGCCGCAGCCGCGGGGCCGGGGCAGTTACGGTCCGTGGGTTGTCCTGGGAGGGGAAGGAGCCTGCAGCTCTTCTTCCTTTGAAGGAAAACCAGCTGGTTCAATAAATCACCTTTTGAAGGAGACCTTTTTAACTTAACTGCGCTGCCCCATCCAGTGTCACAGGCGGGGCAGGGAATAGGTTCTGCGAGGACAGGGACCTGTCACAGCCGGCGACCCTCCCAGCCCTCACACTGCTTCCCTCGGCTGGGGCTTCTCCTTGCTCCCCGGGGACGTGTGTGTGCATTACAGTCGGACAGCGCAGGAAAAGGGCAATTCTGTCAATTCATACGAGCACCGCTAGTGAGAACCCATTCCATCAGTCACATTTACACCGCGCCGAAACTCCGGGAACCGGGCGCTTCCCAGCCTGTGGGGATCTCCAGCCGTCACCAATCTCTGCTCCGAAGGGTCTCGGTTCTCCTCCTTGTCCACAGGGAACTCCTGCTAACCTTAGCCCAGAGTCCGGCTTTAGATGGCAAAGTGGCCCAAAATAGAAAGCACGCCGTGCGCTGTGTCGTGCGGCTCCTTGGGGACGGGCTGGACCGAGTCCCGCTCGCGGTGCCCTCCGTGCCCGCACACTCCGGCCAAACGGGGCTCTCGCTGCCCGCCGTGCGGGTGTGCGGGCACCGGGGTGCCCGTGACCCCCGGGGGAGTGAGCAGAGAGCCACACACCCCAGGACTCCCCCGGGCCGGCAGCACAGCCGGGCTCTGCTCCCGTCACACAGAGCTGCGTGTTAGGGATTCACACTGCGAATGTCACCACGGGCTGTCTGGAACCTGCCATCTCCCCCATTCTGTTGAATTAGTAATTTTTAAATGAAATATTCATTGTTTCTATTTCTCAAACATCAGTGCACCTGTCAGAGTTTGGCACTGGAGTCCCAGCACCAGCACGCTGTGCAGAACAGCCTACCAGAACCAAACCCCAGTGGTGATGTCGGTCCAAGGTTTGCTCCAATTCTTTTTCCTGGAGGAGAACACTTGGCAACTGAAATATGATTCCCTCGCAAAGGCATCTGTTTATGTCCCCTCCTGTGCCAACCCTCCTCAGAGCAGTGCTGGTGGGATGCCAGGTGACTCAGTGGGCTTTGAATGTGTCATCGAGCTGTTTTGAGTCACTATTCCTCTTTTTGGGGTGTTTTTTGTAACCTTACCAACTGTGTATTCCCTATTTGATTTCCTAAAGCACCGTGAGCAGTTGGAGCCTCTGCCCAAAACTGTGAATATTAACTTCACTTGTATAATTAAATAATTATATGCAGACACACTATTTGTATAGATTTATCTGGCAAAAAAACCCCTGCATCTGCTCACCTGTGACAATGTGCCAGAGACCTTCAAGACTTCATGATGGTAAAAGTTAAATCTGAAATCTTAATGGAAATCACAGCTTTCTGATCTCAATGTGCAGGGAAACTGCTGACCTGTCTTGCACAGATAAGGCAAAGCATTAAAGTCAGCTGGCTGCTGGTTCTGCTGAAAATCCTTTTTTCAAAGTTCAGTCCAGAGCCATCTGAAGGTACAGGGCAAGCAGGTTTCAGATCAGATGTGGAGGAGCAGAATTTCTCCACAAAAAAATCTTTGGAAAATGAGCTTTTATTGAAAGGCTCCTTCCCCGGTGTGATCCATGGGCAGGAGGAAGTTGCTCAGCACTGAAGGTAAGGGAGAGGATGATCAGATGTCACAAGGATGAGTGCCCTGTTCCCACAGTGCTGTCCCAGGGCTGTGACAGCTCCCCAGGGATCCCCTACTGACTCTGGCTGTGTGGGGAGGCTGCTCCCCGCTCAGAGGGTGGCAAGACACAAAAGCAGCTTTTTCATCTTGAGCCACACAAAAAGCACCAGGAGGAGAACAGGAAGGCTGGAGCAAGCTTGGGATGTGCTGCTGGAGGTCAGTGTGTTTTCCTGCTGGGCTATCATGGATGCTGCAGTCCAGCTTCCCCAATAACACCAAGGCTTCCACAGCTTCTGGCTTTGCTCAAATCCCACCTCAAAGTCCCAAATGACATCCTGGGGCTGGGAAGAGGATCTGCTTTGTTGTGCAGCCCCAAAGGGAGCTGTTCTCCTGCTCACACAAGAGTCAGCCCACACCCAAACCAGGTGTGGCCCCTGTTGCCCCCCTGCTTCTCCAAGGGACACCAGAGAGGGTTTAATGCTGCTCACGCACAGGTCAGAGGGGCCAGGGAACCCTGAAGGACCAGCACTCTTAAACAGACTTAAAAAATAGAATAAAATGAAAGAGTACTAAAATGGCAGAGGAAAATGTCAGCATAATAAAAAAAAAAAAAAAGATCTGCAGTACTAAATTGCAAAGTTGTAGAAATTGGCCATTAAATGTTCAAAGCAGCTGAAATGCAATTACAGTAATAGGCATGAATCAGGATAACCCTGGGCTTTGCAATATTTCAATCCAGCTCTACTTTTCCCTTTTTTTTCCTTTTATCTTAACGATATACACATTAACTTATCAAGGACTAATGGAAGTTACAAACCTTGGAATCACAGAATCACAGAATCATGCAGATTGGAAAAGCCCTCCAAGTCTGACCAATTATCCCATTGGCAACTAGACCAGTCACTAAGTGCATATCCATGCATTTTCTGAACATTCCCAGAGATGGCAACCCCACCACTGCCCTGTCCAGGGCTTTACAACCCTTTAATTAAGGAATTATCCCAAAATCCACCCTGCCCCTGCCCTGGCCCAGCCTGAGGCCGTTCCCTCTGCTCCTGTCCCTGTTCCCTGGAGCACAGCCCGACCCCCCTGGCTGTCCCCTCCTGGCAGGAGCTGTGCAGAGCCACAAGGGCCCCCCTGAGGCTCCTTTGCTCCAGGCTGAGCCCCTTCCCAGCTCCCTCAGCCTCTCCTGGGGCTCCAGCCCCTTCCCAGCTCCGTTCCCTGCCCTGGACACACTGGAGCCCCTCAATGACAATGACACCTTCCACAGCACATCCCTGGCAGCCACACAGCCAAAGGTGTCCATATTAAACTCTTGACCTGATGGATCCCACAGTAATTTATTAACTATGTCTCCAATTTTCCATCAGGCTCCAATTAACCTCCTCTAAGTTTATTCTTAGCCTAAAGTCTTATTGGGTAGGATAGGATAATTTTTCTTTTGGGCACTAATGAAAGTCACCAGAGGTGACCCAAGATGCTTCTCCCTTGATGCCCTGGTGGCACTGCAGCACCAACAGGAACCCCAGTTCCCATTGCTCCAGGAGGCTGCAGCTACAGCATCCACCTGGCCAGAGGAACCAAGAGCTGCTCAGCTCTGGAGTTTTCATGGAGCAAGTTCCTGTGGGTGGGAATTCCCAGCAGGCAGAGCCCTGAGCAGGTTACCAGGCTATGTCTATAGGAAGGAATTATCACTGCAGATATTCAGCTAAAATAATATCATCTTCTAATGATACTTCAAGCAGCTCCTCTGATCCAACAGCTTCTTGCCCTCTCTTTGCCTGCTGTTTCTCTAATTATCCAAGCTCAGGAGGAAGGTGATTAAGTGCTTATTAAGGAAAATAGATATGGTTTATTATGAAAAGCATTTTTTTCAGGCAGCTTTGTTGTAGCAACACAGCACATGACACAGGTTACAGTTGTGCCACTTTGCCTTTCCAGAGAAAAGACAGGTTCAGCGGAAAATACTTTCAACCTTTTACTTTTTATCTCATGAAGCAAACAATGTCATGGGATGGTTTGAGTGGGAAGGGACCTTAAAGTTCACTCCATTCCCACCCTGTGCCATGGCAGGGACACCTCCCACTGTCCCAGGCTGCTCCCAGCCCCAGTGTCCAGCCTGGCCTTGGGCACTGCCAGGGATCCAGGGGCAGCCCCAGCTGCTCTGGGCACCTGTGCCAGGGCCTGCCCACCCTGCCAGGGAACAATTCCTGATTCCCAATATCCCATCCATCCCTGCCCTCTGGCAGTGGGAGCCATTCCCTGGGTCCTGTCCCTCCATCCCTTGTCCCCAGTCCCTCTCCAGCTCTCCTGGAGCCCCTTTAGGTCCTGGCAGGGGCTCTGAGGTGTCCCTGGAGCCTTCTCCTCTCCAGGTGAACACCCCCAACTCTCCCAGCCTGGATCCATAGGAGAAAATGATGAGTCTAACATGAAGCTGTATTAATCTAATAATAATAATCTCATATGGATTATTAGTCCATTAAAGAAAATAATATAAGCATCCATAAACCAAGATTTCTGGACATTCTGCCCACACTGAGCTCCTGGCACATCCTCAATCCCAATGGCTTCATAGGTGGCATCCTTGCAGAGCCAGGCCCAGCCAGTTGTGCTCCTACCTGGAAACACCAAAGCCATTCCCAGTGTTTGCTCAAAAATGTTGTCTCTGTTCCACTGAATTTGAAGTTCTGAGTCCCCCAAGTGTTCCTGTTTGAGTAGTCCTGTGATAATCATCTTGATGGGCAGCCAAGGCATCGTCCTCACGCTGCTCCCTGCAGTGAAGCGTCGCTAATGGCACATCTTGTTGTAAAATGGGGTTATTACAAGACAAAAACATCCTAAAATGAAGCTCTTGCAAAATGTTCTGACCAAAATGATATGTATGTAATAAAAATCTCATTATTTTCAAATTATTCATCTACTTTGCAAGGGAATGAGTCAGAGCATCTGTTTTGGGGCCCCATCAGGATGACTGGCAGTGCCTCTCTCCTGGCACATTTGAATCAGGGGTGGCCCTCAAGCTGTGCTGACCCCAATGCTGCCACTTGG